GTCTAGTTTCTACTAACCAGTTAATCGTGTTAAATTCAGGAACTGATGATGTTTTCGGAAAGACTGTGTTCCAAGGAATGACTAAGATCCAACTTCAAAAAACAAACAGTTTAAAACATTTCCTCAGCCTAGTCCCATGATGCTTAAAAAAACTGACACAGAAGAATAGTTCATATTTCTTCTCTCATTCCCATGATCCTCCCCTTTCATTTGGTCACCCTACTCCAATAATAAAAGCTAGAATCCAGCAGTACACCAAGTACAAGAAAAAAAACAACACAGAAGTAGATATTTGGCACAAACAGAGGGAGATCAGATGACCTTTTCATGCTACTTCGGCATTGACACCATCACTGGTAAAAAGGCCTAATTAAAACCCACTCGGTGGTAAACATTTACTACAGAACGCCTATGGTGACAGGCCTGTGGCAGACACTGGCACAGGAAGATGCTATTAAGGAACTCAGTCCAGTGGGATCCACAGAGTCACAGGACACGCAGGGACTGCGACAGGTGGGAAAGCCGAGGGACAGAAGTTCACCCATGTCTGATGAAGGCTAAGCGACAGCCATAAGGAGCAGGCTGTGCTGCTGATCGTTTCTGAACGGGACATCTCAGACAGAAGGACCAGCATGTGTAAAGGCACTGAGAGGCGCGCTAGTACAGTGCAGTCTGCCTGGAAACTGAAAAACTTTCCTTGTGTGAGCAGAGTGGACAGGGCGTGTGGGAACTCGCAGGGGATTCGTACGTGGTTACATCATAAGTCAGGGAGCTGTTACATCATAGAGGGCCCTGGACTGTATCCTGTAGGTGATTTTAACACAAAAGTTCCTCAGTTCAGTGCCTTCACTTACGGTTCAGTAAGATCCCTTGGGTAACAGAAGGGAAAATGTGTTAAAACGAAGTAATCCCCAAAAATGACACTAGTAAGAAGGCTATTATATTACGCAAACAGAGATAATTTGAACTTGAGAAGCAGCGGTGGAAATGATGATCAGGTGACCATTTTAAAGAACACTCAGGAGTCCAGCTTCGGGCCCCCATCTTAGAGGAAAGGCTGGGGAGGAGAGAGGATGGGGCGGATAAAAAAGAACCCTCAGAAAATAAAGGATGTGCTAGACACCATAGGTCCCAGCTAACTGCCATTTCCAACTCCCTGCCCCCCTCCCCGTAACCCCCCGAGAGCCAGGAGGCCAGAGGACCCATGTGGCAGCTGTGGACAGTCTCTGGGAAAGAAAGCTGTCTATTGAAAGGGGAGGGGCAGGCAGGCAGGCCTGCTCACCTGTCTGCCTTCTCATCCTGACAGGGCTAGGGTCTGGGGTGCTATGATGTCATTTTCCAACTCCGAGGGGACAAGCACAGAAGGCAGCTTGCCGAGGACAGCGAGCGGAAGTGTGGAGCCCAGGTCCCGATGACACGCCGAGCCGCGGCCTACCCCAGGTCTGTCTATTTGTGGACTTAAGAGCCTTATCCTTCCAGGTTAAGCCACCGATTATCAAGTGGTTCCTTCCAGCAAAATCAACCAAACGAAACAGACAGGGTCTGTGACTTAACTGACTGCTTGTTTGCAATGGAAAGGAACTTAGTTTTATTCCCAGGGTTCTGGCTTGGAAACTGAGCTAGTTACAAAAACAATTACCACAGAGAGGCGGGGTGTGGGAGTAAAGGGGAAGGGTCTGCTGTGGGGAAGGAGGGGAGGGAAAGGCTGTTACTAAGCGTGTTGCTTCAGAGATTATGGAATCATTTAGGTGAAGGACACGATCTGATGAACTCGTTCAGGACGTCTGCCTTTGACCTGCTGAGCTCGGAAGTCAGAGCCTATCACGCCTGCAGGGCCCCAGCTTTCATGGCGTCTAATGGAGGAATCGGGTGGGGGTGGGGGTTCAAAAGAACAAAGCAGACCAAATTTCCTTATTTGAAGAGTTCTAGGAAGTGTGTTTATTTTCTATTAAGACTTTGGAGATGTACAGATACTATTTAAAAACAGGAAGAATATCAATAAAGTATATTTAAAAATAAAAACAGAAAGAAAATTGTTTGACAATCGACAAACATCATCACACTAATGCATATGCTGGTTTTACGGAAATTCATTAGTAGCCAAGATAACATGAGAGCACATGACCTGGGACTACGACAGATGAAGAGCTTGTGCTGGAGTGACTGCACCCCAGACTGTCCCAGCAGCGAAATGATCTGAATCAGCTGCTCGCCAATGTGGGCCAGTCAGCTGGGAGCATGGGGATAACCTCATTCCCAAGACTCAGACATGTTTTATTGGGGGCAGGTACCCCGAGTACAGAGAGAAACATAATCACTGAGGAGGTGGCAGGCAGTAATTCACAGTGCTGGCCACGAGGTGACGTCAGGGGGATGCTGCTCCTCCTTCAGGGAGGACGGTCACACAGGTGAGCCGCACCAGGCAGAGTCACGGGAAAGCAATGACCAGCAGCTCGCACCTGGCAAACAGGAGCAGGTGGCATCTCACAGCCAAGAGGCTCGGGAGGCGCGGCAAGAGGTCCCTCGACACGGTGATGATCGGCGCATGTTCACCACAGGCGACAGCAATGCTCACCAAGGGGCCCAGGAGGAGCAGGGAGCACGTCCAAAGATAAAGAGCAGGCCCTTGACATCAACCAAAAGGTCTCAAAAGCCAATCCGGAGCTGAGCAACAGGAGTATAACAGCAAATTTGCACCTCAACCCACTTAATTCTAAACCGCAACTCTGGTCATGCTGCTCTGGACCACAACTTTAAGTGGATCCCCCTGGCTCACAGGCACCCCCCCCCCAACCCTTCAATCCAGCCCCAAACTAAGAAGAGTTCTAAGCAAACTTTCAATGTGTCTCCTTTCCTGTATCCTACCCTCCTGTTCTTCTGGACCAGCTGCTGTTTCCAAATCCAGCCTGTGCTTCCTGCTCCCGCCATCTCCCAGGCAGAGCACCTGCCCGGCCTCCAGTGTCCCCTGGCCTTTCCCTGTCTCCTCACCCACAGCCTGGTGTTACTACTACTGTACCTCCCCTGTGACATTCTCAATTCCTTAAACAAGGACAACTCATTGTAGACTGCTGAATTAGTGACATAAAACAATCACAAACCGAGGCCCCCCCAAAAGAACACACGAAAGCAAGTTTATCAGAAGCCTAATAATTCAATTCTTGACCATTCTGATACACAGTCATATACTTCTCCAAAGCAACATGTAAGAAATGAGAAACGGGAATTGGTGGAGAAGATAATGAATCAGACTGCAGCCAGGAAATTCCTGCCCCTCCCTGCTCTTAGTTACCTGGGCAGGTTTCACTTACCCTTCCTCCACCTGCTTCCTCTCTACCGAGGTGATGTGAGGAACTAGTTAACAGTACTAATCTCTCAGGACGGTGGTCGGCAAACTCATTAGCCCACAGAGCCAAATACCAACAGGACAACGATTGAAATTTCTGTGGAGAGCCACACTTTTTAAACTTAAACTTCTTCAACATAGACTCGCCCAGGCCGTGGTGTTTTGTGGAAGAGCCACACTCAAGGGGCCAAAGAGCCACAGTTTGCTGACCACGGTCTTAGAATATTCCTCCCTTTAAAATATAGTGGTTTCAGCCCTAGAGGGTTTGGCTCAGTGGATAGAGCGTTGGCCTGTGTCCTGAAGGATCCTGGGTTCGATTCTGGTCAAGGGCACCTGCCGGGGTTGTGGGCTCTAAGCCCCGTGTGGGGCGAGCAGGGGGCAGCCAATCAGTGATTCTCTCATCATTGATGTTTCTCTCTCTCTAGCCCTCTCCTTTCCTCTCTGAAATCAATATATAATATATATATATATTATACATATAAAATCAATTATATACATAATCAATTATATATGTGTGTGTACACACATATATGTGTATATATGTATATATCCCTACTAAGTGCCAAGTATAGGTCCTGAAGAAGAAAAAACAAAGTTTAAACCTAGAGTTATTTCTTAACCAGGCCACGACCCTGACACGGGGCCAAGTTTTCTAGGATCTCTGGTTCCCATTCTTCTCTGGAAAGTGATCAAGCTTCAGGCTCCTAAGCACGTTAACCTCCAAGCTCTTAGTGAACTCAGCTGAGCACCCACCTCCGGCCCCAGGCGGTCTCCAGGCCCTCCCTACACCCTCCCTACACCCCTCCCTCCTCCCCAGGACGCAGGGTTTGGAGAAAAAGTTCAGTCTGGGGCTGGGAACCGAGCCCTCTGACCTCCAGGACCTGGGCTCTGCTGCACCTTTAAGCCAACACACACAATAATGGAGGGACTTTCTCAGGTGCCCAGCCGCTTCCAGCCAAACCGTCCACGACAAACCCAGCTCATCGCCCAAAGCAACCAACCCGGCAGCGACCGGGGGCCCCGGCTGCGCTCTGCCCGGGATCCAGGCGCCCTGGCCGGGCCGGGCCGGGCCGGGGCTGGCTCCGGGGCTGGCTCCGGGGCCGGAGGAGGGCTCCCAGGCGGGGTGCCCGCTCCCGGTCCCGCCTGGCACCTGTGGCATCCCCTGAACCCGGACCCCGGCTCCGGGAGAGGCGCCCCCTCCCCTCCATCGGATGTTTCCGCACAAACGCCCCGGCGGCCAGGGAGGGGCTCCGGGCGCCTCCGGAGGGACCGGCCCGGCCCCCGACGGCGGGACTTTCTGGACGGACTTCCCGGGGGGCGGGCCGGGGGTGCTGTGCCCGGAGCAGGGTGGTCCGGCGGACCCGGGAGGGGTTGGGGGGAGGCGCCCGGGGCACCTGGGCTGCGAGTCGGAGGTCGGACCCGCGACGGGAGCGGGGCCGGAAGGACACGGCCCCGCGGCCGGGGGTCGGGCCCGGGGCCGGGGGCCGCGCCGAGCGGGGGGGGGGGGCCCGAGGGCGGTTCGCGTCGCCCCGGGCCCCGCCGACACCCTCGCCCTCGGGGACTCGGAGCCACCGCTCCCCTCCCCCGCCCTCCCGGCCTCCGCGGGGGGCGGCGGCGCGGGGCCCGGGTCCGAGGGCGCGGGCCGGGCCGCACTCACCATGTCGTACACGTTGAGCACCACCAGCTGGTTGGCCCCCATCCTCCTGCCCGCGGCCGCCGCCTCGCCCCCCAGCCGCTCGGTCTCCGCCGCCCCGCCCCGCGGCCGCCTCAGGGCCGGAGCCGGGCACCTAAGCCCGCGGCAGCCGGCGCAGGGGCATCGGGAGGCCGGGCCGCTCCAGGGCGCCGCCGCCGCCGCCGCCGCCGCCAAGACCTCCGCGCCGCCGCCGACGGGGCCGCCGACTGCCGGCCGCCCGCTCCGGGCCCAGGCGCCTCCCCCGGGCGGCAGGCACGTGGGGGAGGGCGGGGCCTGGCGAGGGGCGGGCGCCGGGAGCTCCGAGGGCGGAGCCGGCCCGGCGCCCGAGCAGAGCCCGCCTGCGCTACTCTTTCCGCCGCGGCCGCACCTCGGGCCTAAAATGGCGCTGCCCCCCCCACCGCGCGTCTCTCCACCTCAGGCAGCGGAGCTCCGAAGGAACTACAGTTACCGGCATGCAGTGGGGCTCGCCCGCTGCGTGCCTAAGCGCGGAGGCGGGGTCTCAACTATAACGGTCCTTGGTCGCGGGGTTCTTGCCAAGCCTTGACTACAACTCCCAGCATGCTGCTCGGGTCCCGACCCTATCAGACTAGGGTTTCCCGGGGAGACTACAGTTCCCAGCATGCAGTGCTTGGGGAATCTGCGCCTGATCCTTTGCGGCCCGCCCTTGGCTGCGGGGTGAGGTCCTCGACGTTTGGTCCCTTTTCATTGGTCCTGGTGATGCTAGTTTTGTCCGTGGAGCCCGGGTGAAGATAACGAAATGTGGCAAAAGACCGCAGCAATGACCTTGTTTTCCAAATCTCTCTCTCTCTCTCTTTTTTTTTTTTTTTTTTGCTATGGGAGGGGGTGGGGAATAAAGGTAGGCGGGTCACTGGTGGTGGGTGGGGTGCAACATACATCCAGTTAATCCTCAAGGTGAAATTTTACATTTTATGAAATTGTCCTCATGAAACGAGACGCAGATTAGCCCAACCCTAGCACCCAGTTGGTGCTTTTGCATGCATTTAACAAATAATTTGTTGTGTCTGCCACATGCCTGGCTGTGTTGTTGGCCCTGGGAAGTACAGTAATAAACAGGAAGGAGGACAACCAAAATATCGGTGGTTTGTGCTTTGCAGAAAATTAGAATAGGATGAACTGATTGAGAGTAATCTTAAGAGAGGCTGCAGCGTGAAAATCTTTTGCCAACGTGTGTTTTAAGCTGAGATCTGGGATGACAAAAAAGCAGACCTATAAATATCAGGGGACAAGTATCCCATTAATAGGAAACCACAAACCTAATTCATTCAACTAATTAGGAAACCTTTCCTAAGTGCGCGTCAAAAGGTAGTTTGGATATTGGGGTTGTGGGGGACACAGAAAATTAGAGAGCTTTGGAATATTTTGGACGAAAAGAGCCACATGCTAACCTGACAAGCTTAGGGAAGGCCTGCGAGGCAGTTTTGCAAACTCAGAGACCTAAAATAACCACAAAAGATGGTCTGAAATTAAATATTTAACTACAAACAGGTACCTTTAGTCATGTCCTGGGCTGATATTTTCCCAAAGATCAACTCAGATCTTCTTTACTGAGCCCATTTGCCTATTTGCCTCTAAGATAACATATCTGTGAGATGTCTGGGTAACTTGTAACTTCCCTTTTTTCCTGGAGCCCCTGGGGCACAACCAAATGTGGCAGACGCCAGGACAGATACCACAAATTCCTTCTTTATCATGTTAATTGTTCCTGTACCCACCTAAGTAAGCATCCATCATTTTACTTTTTATCCAATCCCAGGGATTTCCCACCACTTTGCTTTATCCCACCTCTTTAACCAATGAATTTCATGTAACCCACCTATGTTCGTCCTTTGATTGCAATGTATAAATAGAAATGTCACCTGCCATTCTTTGGAGCATTATCTCAGTTCATTGAGGTTCTGCTTCCTGGCATATGTCAACAGTTCGGCTCAACTAAACACAAAAATTCTTTATAGGTTTTAATGTTTTTTTTCGTTAACAAGAGTATATAAGACTTGCCAATGGGTTGGGTGCTGAGTTTATTAGGGAGAGAACATTCAAGGATAACTTCTAGATTTTCAACTTGGGAAATTGTGAGGTTGGTGGTGCCAAGATGTAAAAATTGGGAAGCATAGGTTGGTAGGAGGAAAGTCAAGAGTTAGAGTTTAGTCATGTTAAGTTGGAGGTGCCATTTATTTACTAGAGGCCTGGTGCATGAAATTCATGCACTGGCAACGGGGAGGGGTGGCCCTCAGCCCAGCCTGCACACACTCCAATCTGGGACTCCTCGGGGGATGTCTGACTGCCAGTTTAAGCAGTCGGACATCCCTCTCACAATCCGGTACTGTTGGCTCCCAATCACTCGCCTGCCTGCCAGCCTGATCACCCCCTAACCACTCCCCTGCCAGCCTGATCAATGCCTAACTGTTCCCCTGTCAGCCTGATTGCCCCCAACTGCCCTCCCCTGAAGCCCTGGTCCCCCCCTTAACTGCTCTCCCCTGCCATCCTGGTTGCCCCTAACTACCCTCCACTGCAGGCCTAGTCCCACCTCGCTGCCTTTCCCCTGCTGGCCATCTTTGACCACATGGAGGCAGCCATCTTATGGAAAGGTGTGAGGGTCAATTTGCATATTACCTCTTTATTATATAGGATTTATTTGTTTTTTTTAATCCTCACCCAAGGATATTTTCCCATTGATTTTTAGAGAGAGAGTGGGAGAGAGAGGGAAAGACACAAATTTCGATGTGAGAGAGACACATCGACTGGTTGCCTCCTGCACACACCCTGACTAGGGCCTAAGCCAGGGAGGAGCCTGCAATCAAGGTACATGCTCTTGACCAGAATTGAACCTTTTGGTCTGCTCTATCCATTGAGCCAAACCAGCTAGGGCTGGATGTGCCTTTTAGACATCTGTCATGTCAATGGGCATTTGGATAAATGAAGCTGTGGGACTGATTGGGTTACCTAGGAAAAACTGTAGATAAAGAAAAAGGAGGCCAAAGATAAAACTCTTAGACCCTTCATTTACAGATCAAATATAGGAGGAAGAGGAACCGTGTGGCTGGAGAGCATGGTAACACAAAAGCCACAAGGCTAGATTTAGCAATATGAAGGTTACTGGTAGCCTTGACATGAGCAGTCTCCGGGAAGGAGTGAGGTCCAAAGAACATCTAGAATGGTTTGAGGAGTGGATGTAAGGTGAAGCAATGGAGACTATAGCAGCTAGGGCACAAATGGGATCGGGCTGTGTGGTCAATGGAGGCCATTTTAAAGATGAGAATACTAAGGTATACTTGTGTGTAAAGAGGGAACTTAGTGATCTAGGAGAGAGGGCGAGGTTCCCAAGGGCAAGGTAAGAAGAGGATCCTCCAGTGCACAAGTGGAAGGAAGTGGAGAGGTTGACCATTAGTAGGAGGGAATGCTTTATTCATAGTGGCAGCATGTAAGGTAGATGCAGGTGCATAGCGATGGCCTAGAACAGTGTTTCCCAAAGTGCGGTACGCGTACCCCAGGGGTTCGGGAGGAGTTTGGTGGGGATATGCACTGCACCGTGCTTAGCAGCGCCTAATTCTACGTTCTCATGAGTACGAGGAGTGCTCAGCGTTACAAAAATTACAGAAGGGGTACACATATGTCAAAAGTTTGGGAAACGCTGGCCTAGAAGATACAGAGACATTTGGGGATGGAGAAATAAGAGGTCTTTGTTTTTTGTTTTTTTTCTGATTTGCTTTTATTTTCTCAATGAGTAAGAGACAAGATGATTAGTGGAGAGTGAGAGAGGGGAGAGGTGGAGTGGAAGGAATTTGAAGAGAGAAGGTATAAAGTAGGAAAAACAAATACATTAGGAAAATAGGATTGAACTCCAGGCAGTGTTTAGTGGCAGTAAATGCTGTGTGCATGACTGTTCTCAGACAAAGTTGTGGACAAACTTTTAGAATTGTCAGCTAGCTGAGGAGAAAACATAGCTGGGATTCAGAGAATAATACGCTTTTGTCTTAGATGTCTCTAGCTATGAAGTGACTTTTTAAGCTTATTGGCATGGCAGTGAAATGTGGTTGATCTTTGACAATCTTTGAGGTTGCAGTCACTGTCCAGGTAGGCATTGCTACTCTGTACCTGGAGTGATAATCATCTTGGCAAAGGTCTATAGTCTTCCCTGGCTAGGTTCAACATGGCTTACCTGTCAATCCTGTATTTCATGTGTCTGCAGGAGAATTATTCTATGTTGGTGCTAAGGTAGAGATCATCCTTGTTGAAATTTGGGTAATCAGCTGCCCCATTGCCTATTTCAATACATATATTGAAATATATATATATATATATATATATATATATATATATATATAAATTTCATAGAGGAAGAAGAGGGAGAGATACAAAATCATTGATGAGAATCATTGATCGGCTGCCTCCTGCATGCCAACTACTGGGGATCGAGCCCACAACCAGGGCATGTGCCCTTGACTGGAATGGAACCTGGAACCCTTAAGTCTGAAGGCTGACAATCTGTCCACTGAGCCAAACCAGCCAGGTTATGTTTCATTTGTAATTGGTACAATGGGAGCTGGGCCCCAAAACCTGTGACCCAATAAGACAGGAACTTGGTTTGCTATTGGTTATCTGTATGAGGATGTTTACAGGGAATTCTATAGGATCAGCTGGTAATTGAATATTGCTGATCATGTGAGTGTGAACTGTTTCTGATCTTCCTTTCACATGGGACAGCCTTGCTCCTGATTATTTATATAGAACACCTAAACAAAATAGTAGCAAATAAAACTCATCAATATATTAAAAAATAACATATCCAGATCAGTTTTTGAGATAGTTCCTTTTTATTCATACCTAAGATGACTTAGCTCCAAGGAAACCAAGCAACCTTGGTACTCTGCTCAATGGCCATGAATCAGGCCAAATTCCTTCGTGGCAGACTTCCTGTGAAAACTATCTTCAGGGCCTAGCCAATGACTCTTTTGTATTGAGCAGCGTCTGCTAATAAATTCCGTGTCAAGAAGGAAATACCAGTTGTTTATTTTTTATTTCATTCTCCTTGCCTTTGGCATTCTAATTCACAAAACCACCACTTCAAGGTCTGCAAGTTTAGTGCCCATGTTTTCTTCTCTGTACCTTACTGTTCCAGTCAAACATTTCTTGCCAAAAAGGGGCCAATGCTAACTGACTAACATAGGGAAAGCCCTGCATGGCGGCTTTGCAAACTCAGAGACCTACAGTAACCACAAAGGATGGTCTGAAATTAAAACTTGAAAAGCAGTCTAATGGTGGGTAGTCATGTCCGAGACAGGTATCTTCCCTGACAAAGATCAACTCTAACCTTGACTGAGCCTATTGTCTTTTTGCATCTACACTAATAAAAGAGAAAGATGCAAAAAAATGACCGTACCTTCATGATGCCCACCAGCCAATCAGGAGTGAGTATGCAAATTAACCCAACAAAGATGGCAAATTAATTTGTATACTCAGGCACTGAGCGGCCGGGGGTGGGATGTTTGCATCATCACCATGGCAACAACACAGGCATTGCGCACTGCCCGAGCAGCTCTGGGCCTCTGGGCAGTATGGGAAGGCGGAAAGGTGGCTCTGGGCCAGATCAAAGGCAGTGTCAGCAGCCAGGGGAAGGAAGGCCCATTCTTGCATGAATCTTTGTGCATTGGGCCCCTAGTCTACGATAACATACCTTTGGAATGTTAGGGTAACTTCTATCTTCCCTTTTTTCAGACCCCTCAGGGCACAACCAATGCGCCAGGGCAGCTTGATCCACAGTGGGAGTTGTGCAGGAGGCAGCCAATTGATGACTTCCTTTCTCATCAATGTTTCTATCTCTCTAGCCCTCTCCCTTCCTCGCTCTATGAAAAACAATAAATACTATTTTTAAAAAGATAAATGCAAGCACATTAAGAATTAATTTTATTATATGAGATACACATGAAAATATTTGTGCTTTGGATAATTTAGGAACATTTTTTAGATCTTGAGTTTGATGATACTTACTATGAATTTTTATTCTTAGTACTTCTTGGTCAAACACATGTTTTCAATATAAATACAATATATATTTATATTCTGAGTATATTCCTACATATATATATATCCATAGTAAACAAACTTTCATTTTTTTTTCCTAATTATTCTTCTGTTTTCTTTTGTCAGTTGGTCCATAAAGATGTTTGTAGATCCTCATGTAATGGAAGTAGCTAAAAGTTAGAATACTGCAGAACAGTAGCATCAGGAGAAAGAGGACAGAAAAAACCAGGTAGCCATTTGGACTGAAATTAAAATAAATTAAAAAAAGTCATTAGAAATGATTGTTCACTTTGGTTAATTTAAGTTAGACAAGCAATTTCTGAATTGCTAGCTACTATTCCACCGACAGAGAACAAAGGTGAACAAGACATCCTGTCCACCCTCAAACTGTTTACCTTTTAGTGGTTGAGGCTGACCAGGCAGGAAAATAGACAGTATGACCAATAGCATGAGAGTCTGCTGCAAAAAGGCGAAGCCCGTTCCCCAAAGTTACTTAGAAACAACACATGGCTCCTCTCATTTGCAGATTATTCGCACCATTAACCTCCCATCAGTGCAACAAATTGAGGACTCAGTAATATTTAAAGTAGGGCTATAATTAATGACTTGTCGTGCATGTTTGTTTAACATTTTACAACACACACACACACACACACACACACACGCACACACACAAATAAACAAAAATAAAATAAGGTCCAGGACAGAGAAGCAAAGTCATTTGTGGTCTCAATTTCCATATATATAAGATAATATACAAAGTGTCCTCCCAGGAGTTCAATCACTCGCTATGATGTGTGATGATCATAGGGGGTGGCTCAGAACAAAGGAAGGCCCTGGACAGCGGCCAGCCGCGAGGGAAGGGAAGTTGGCAGCCACTAGGGATCCTATCTGTGCACAAATTTCATGCACTGGGCCTCTAGTATTAACATAAGACTTTTCTGCCTAGACCGGTTTGGCTCAATGGATAGAGCGTTGGCTTGGGGACTGAAGGGACCCGGGTTCGATTCCGGTCAAGGGCATGTATCTTGGTTGCGGGCATATCCCCAGTAGGGGGTGTGCAAGAGGCAGCTGTTCGATGACTCTCTCTCATCGATGTTTCTAGCTCTCTATCTCTATCCCTTCCTCTCTGTACAAAATCAATAAAATATATTTAAAAAAAAATAAAAAATAAGACTTTTCTTCTCTTTCCAAAGAAACTAGCATGGAGTCCAGGGAAATGCTTTCACAACCAGTTACCTGGGTGTATTGGGACAATGGACATTGGTCTAGGGTTGATTCAGGGTCTGTGCAGGCACAGCCACTGTCCCCTCTCAGTCCCACTGCCAGTCTACCTGCTGCCATGTTTGATGGGAAGAAGGTAGCTGTAGAGGATTATGGAATAAAAGCGAACCCAGCCGAAACCGGTTTGGCTCAGTGGACAGAGCGTCGGTCTGCGGACTGAAAAGTCCTAGGTTTGATTCCGGTCAAGGGCATGTACATTGGTTGCAGGCACATCCCCAGTTGGGGGTGTGCAGGAGGCAGCTGGTCGATGTTTCTCTCTCATTGACGTTTCTAGTTCTCTGTCTCTCTTCCTTCCTCTCTGTAAAAAATCAGTAAAATATATTAAAAAAAAAAAAAAAAAAAAAAAGCGGAACCCAGCCCAGCTTGTTGAGCATGACCTAGGAACCAGAAGGTCATGGTTCAAGTTCAAATCTTGGTGAGGGCACATGCCTAGTTTCAGGCTGGATCCCTAGTGTGGACATGAAGGAGATAGCTGATCAATAATTCTCATCATTGATGTTTCTCTCTCTCTCTCTTTCTCTCCCTCTCCTCTCTTCTCAGAAATCAATTAAAAATATATTTATATATATTTAAAAGGAGGAAATTAGCTGCAGTAACACTTCTCAGGAGTTCCCTCCTGCTGGGTCCCTGTTGTAACTGATACAATTTCTAGGACAGCATATTGGGCAGAAATATTAGGTCCCAGGAAAATGGGTGAGGGGTTTTCCTTTTTAGCTACCACCTGTGTCTTTTACAACTTCTTTCTTTAAAGCCTGATTAGGCACAATTATTACCTGGGAATCATTCCATAGGTCTCTATTGCAAAGAGAGCTGTTAGGTTACAGTAACTGCAAATTAGAAAAACAATATTAAAGATTAAATTAAATGCAATACATCAAGGCTCCCTCCACATCTCTATGGTAATGATCAAATCATGTGTAATCTTAGTATCATCTTGACAAAGGAGAGAACAGATACATTTATGTAACAGCAGTGATGATTTTTTCCGTAGGTGTGCTACAGAATTCCTCGAGTTGGTCACTACAACCTCACTGACCTGCTAACAGTTGCACTCCATTTTGATAGTGTGTTATTATTTCTAAAGTTACTGAGTCTCTCTTATAATTTAGCATGTTGCTCAAAATGAGACAGGAGATAGCTAAATAAACATTAATAATATCATTTTACCTACCTTCATGTCGCAGGAAGAAATACAAGGAACTTTTTTATTGGGTGTTTGCCAAGTGCCCAGCAAAGTTAGGGATTTTAACCCAGGCTCTTCATTTAGTCCCCAAAATACTATAAAATAGGTATTATTGACTCATTTTACAGACAAAGAAATAACCTCAAAGAGACAAAGCAGTTGGCTAAGACTGCATAGCTACTAGTGCAAAATTAAGACTCAAAGTGCCATTGCTGGTTTGGCTCAGTGGATAGAGTGTTAACATGCAGACAAGAGTCCTGGGTTTGACTCCAAGGGCACATGCCCAGGTTGTGAGCTTGATCTTCAGTAGGGGAGGCTGGGGGGCATGCAGGAGGCAGCCAATCAGTGATTCTCTCTCATCAATGAAGTTTCTATCTCTCCCTCCCCTTTCCTCTCTGAAATCAATAAAAATATATTAAAAAATAAAAATGAAAATATATTTTTAAAAAAAGACTCAAAGTAGACTTTCTAGCACAATGTCCTCAAGGTCCATCCATGATGTTGAAATGGGAAGATTTTCTTTTTTTTTTATAGCTGAGGAATATTCCGTTGTATATATGCACCACATCTTACTTATCCATTCATCTATCGATGGGCACTTAGGTGGTTTTCAAGTCATGGCTATTGCTTCAGTAAACATGGAGGTACTGGTATCTTTTGAAATAGTGTTTTGTGGAACTCTGGTTAATGGTGAGGCCAGACCCTATGACATTTTTTTAATTTTATTTTATTGATTTTATACAGAGAGGAAGGGAGAGAGATAGAGAGTTAGAAACATCGATGAGAGAGAGTCATCGATCAGCTGCCTCTTGCACACCCCCTACTGGGGATATGCCCGCAACCAAGGTACATGCCCTTGACCGGAATCGAACCCGGGACCCTTCAGTCTCAAGCCGACGCTCTATCCATTGAGCCAAACCAGTCCCGGCCCCTATGACATTTTTTATTCTTTCTGCTAAGTCAGAAAATTATTTTAATAGCTACAAAATATTTTTAACAGAATCAGTATAAAATTGCCATTGATTTCTTCATAATTATCAGAATTATGTACACTTGAGGTCTTGGCTAAGTGGGGCTGAAATCATTAAAGGTCTTGGACTGTTGGCTCAGAAATAATCCTAGGAAGCCCACCTTGTTGACATATGTCATGCTTAGCTTTTATGAGATGACCTGGTCCTTTTTATTAAAAAAAAAAACATTTTTATTCATTCTTTGGATGCTTGAATGAATTTGACAGCGTTCATCAAACACCTTCCAGCTCCTGTCATTTACCACTTCTTCAGCATTCAGTTCTGAACGGATCCATTTCAACTTTGTTCTTTCCTAAGTTGCTTTAATAACATGAAATTGTCCAGATTCTTTTTTCTCTCTTCTCAGAGGTGTTTTAATGTGGATGAAGTCTGAGCTGTACGATCTTTTATGACTCTGTCCCTACTGACATGAGCCTCATCAAACTCATAGAGTTGTTTACAGATTTGGCTGGCATTGTTTTTTCCTGCAGAGAGAGTTGTTATAACCGTAGTGTTTAATTCATGTCCTGCCTTGTCATCAGTCGCCCTCATCACCTTAGTAATTCCTGGAACTGGGCAAACTCCTCATGGTTCACTGCCACTGGGCACCACCATATTGGACCTATATCTTTTCATTCTTCCTACTAGAAATTTCCTTCCTTCTTGACTTAGTGATATTGACATGCCTTTGTGAAACCTACTTATTGGACTTTGCAGAGTGAAATGGAAATTTTATTCTATCTTGTCATTATTCCTTTAAACAAATTCTCTGTGGAATTGTTCTTCCCCACCCCTGGATAAAATATTGAGTGTAAGATTAATATCATTCTTTGTGCTCATCTCAGGCTAATTTTTTTAGGAACTTATTTTCATCACAACACTCCCCTTGTAAAGATGCTAAGGAGGCTCTCTAGGACATGGTTTGAAATGGACTTCAACATTATGCCTTACCTTAGTCTGCCTCCTTTGTTTTCTACCTTCCTCACTCAAGGTGTTTTCCACCTTCCTTCATGACCCGCAAGCCATAGACATTTCCTTATTAGTGTGGCTTCTGAAGGGTGTATTCTAGTCCTCCAGCAATGTAAATTCTACCAATGTTCCTTATTCTCCATGAAGTTTTCTTCCGATTCTCAAAATAGCATTGATATTTCCCATCTTTGAATTATTATTCTGCTCATTAATAATACAAATTATTATATTTGAAAATATCTCAGTATTGCTCTGATTTAACTTCCTTTGGTTTGTGTGTGTCTTCCCCATTTTTTTCTTCCCCAACCACTTTAATTATAAGTACCTTGAAGGCTGAGATTGTGCTTATGTTATATTTGCATCTATCATAACCAAGGAACATAGTAATTGCGAATTGATTAATTAATGTTTAACATGAAATCTTATCTCCCACCCCCATAGAATGCTTGTTGTGATTGCTACAAAAATTAGACAGCAAATATGTAAATCATCATAACAAAAATTGAATATCTATTGAGGCGACACCAAATCAAATTAAATCAACACAGACAACAGCATGGTGATTACCAGAGGAGAAGGGGTGAGGGAGGTAGAAGAGGGTATGGGAGAAAATGGAAGAAGACTTGATTTGGGATGGTGAACACACAATACAATGTACAGTTGATGTATTAGGAATTGTACACCTGAAACCTACATAATTTTATTAACCAATGTCACCCCAATATATTAAATTTAAATGTAAAAATTTAATTTTTGAGGAATTAATACTAAAATGATTATAATAAGACATTTATATTCACCTATAGTTTGGATCCAGGATCTTCACTCGAAACACATACATTCCAGTACGGTGCATAGGCCAAACCAAATGGTTCCGGTTAGACTTGTTGATAATCTCGTAGGGTTGACTCAAGTCGCCAGGTTTCCCAATAGCATAAGAAAAACAGTGCTTATAATTCTGAACAGGAAACAAAGACAAAAAACCCACTTGATTAAGCCAGAATAGTGTGTCAGTCACGTCTAGAAACTTGAATCCTGTCTTGAGTTGTGTGTGTGTGTGTGAGTAGCCAACAACTCAGTACCCACGTTCTCCCATTCCTTCTCTAACATTAACTTGGAAAAACTTGTGAAAAATGTCACTTTTCCTTTTGAGTCCTTCAGTTTTTCTTCTGAGAATTTACATCTCTAGAGTTACCTCTTAGATCTTTTATGCAGACTATTCATCACTGTAGAGTCAGGACTATGTAGCATTAGCGGGTGCGGCTCCAGGAGCTAGAATGCTATTTCATTCCAAATACATGTTTCAGGGAGAGAGAGCGCCTCTGGTGGCCATGCTTAGTTAATACACCCTCAGGAACGGTAGCTTTTTTTTTTTTTTTTTTTTTCCTACTAGTTTATTTTTAAGTAAAGGCCTGGAGGAGAAAGCTGGCTAGTCATAGGGGTGGGGCATAGCAAATAATAAAGGCTTTGCTGTAATGGAGATGGAAACCATCGAATGGTTTTGAGCAGAAGAGTGACGTGTTCTCATTTATGTTTTTTTAAATAATATATTTTATTGATATTTTGTAGAGAGGAAGGAAGAGGGAAAGAGAGTTAGAAACATTGATCAGCTGCCTCCTGCACTAACCCTACGGGTAATGTGCCCACAACCAAGGTACATGCCCTTGACCAGGATTGAACCTGGGACCTTTCAGTCTGCAGGCCAACACTCTATCCACTGAGCCAAACCAATTTTGGCTCATTTATGTTTTGGAAGGAACTCTAGCTGCTGTGTTGTGACTAGATTCCTGGTGGGCTAGGCTGAAGCAGGGAGATCTACTAGTAGGGATGTTGCTATTCTAACTCAGATGGCTGGTGATGGAGGAGGCAATTGGGGGAAGGGGGTTGCGGCTGGTGAGGAATGACCAAACTCAGAATAGACTTTGAAGGAAGAGCCAACAGATTTCCAGAAAGACCAAATGTGGGCGTGCGATGACGCTCAGAAATTTCTTTCCTGCTCAAGCTGGAGGATAGAATTTCCACTCACCAAGGTGGAAGGACATTGGGGTATGTTTGTGGGGCCAATTTTCAATGCTCATCATAGTTGATCTGTCTGTCTTCATGTGGATTTGACACAGTTGATCCCTTCCTCCCGCGAGACTTGCTTTATATTATGTGTGTCTGGAACACCACATTTACCTGGCTTTTCTCCTACTCCTTGGATTATTCCTCTTTTATCTCCTTTGCCCCCTCCTCATTTCTCCAATCTCTAAACAGTTGAATGATCCAGCATTTAGCTCTCCTCTTTTTGTGTCTATATCAGGGTTTCCTAAACTTATTGTGTGTGTGTCTAAGTTTTCTATGTGGGTCCTTTTGTCAGTTTGATAAAACCGATGGATAACTACCCTCTAACCCCTGCCCTCTCCCTCATAGCAGGCTTTCAGCTCTGCTGGCTGCTCTGCGCCTGCATGCATGCTGCCCAGAGCGGCTGGAGGGCGGGGCTGCCACCATCTTTGCCAGGTTAATTTGCATACTCACTCTTGATTGGCTGGTGGGTGTTGTAAAGTGATGGTCAATTTGCATATTTCTCTTTTATTAGTGTAGATAATGTATAACAGAATATTGTAAGAATTAAGTTATTAAATTTTTATTAAAATGTTTCTTACATACTGTTATAGTGACTAGGCTGCAGAAATATTCATTGTGGGTTGCATGCGGACCATGGGCCCCAGGTTTGACATGCTTGTTCTAGAGTTATGTTGCTGGAAAGTTAGGGAGCAGTGGATGGAGAGTGGAATGTTTGGAATACAGAGGACAATACACATCATTTATATATATATCTTTGTCTTGACATGCATAGATTCTGCTGCAGAAGCAAAGTAACATTCTGATTTTAGGGTGAACATTTTATAGGCTGAAGTACCTTCTCTGTCACTTTTTATTCATGAGATATGATTTGATTCTCCAAATAACATACATTAATTTAAAAAAATTCAATTGCAAAAAATTAAAAACGGTCTAGGGTTGGTAATTGGCCTTAAGAAATGTTCTTCTGCTTGGCCAGTGTAGCTTGGTTTTAAGAGTCAGACTATGAAGCAGGAGGTCAAGGTTCCATTTTCAGGCAGGGCACATGCCTGGTGGGCTCGATCCCCAATGTTTGGGCATGCAGGAGGCAGCCCATCAATGATTCTCTTTCATCATTGGTGTTTCTCTCTCTCTCCCTCTCCCTTCCTCTCTCTGAAAGCATTAAAATGACATAATAAAAATTAATTAATTAATTAATTAATCAGTTTGCAAGGTAAAATTTTTCTTACCTGAGGTCCCCAAGCTTCTTCTAACGGGAGGTGCTTGTTAAGTGTGGTCATTGACTTCCACGTCTGGGCCTCATTTAAACAACCACTCTGTCAAGATATTTAGATATATATATATATAGTATATCAATTTATTCATAAGTACTTCATATATTTTAATGCCATTGGAAAGTATATTTTTTAAAAAATGTTTAATTATTTAAATGTTTGCTGATATACAGAGAAACAAACTTCTGTATATTACCCTTGTATGGAGAGAACTTCTTAAATTCACTTAATTTGATTTGAACTTAAATTCATTTAATTTGAACTGTTTCATATGAACAGTTATGCCACCTGTGAATATGACAGTTTCAGTTTTTCCTTACCAATTCTTTTACTTTTTATATAGTTTATAGTTTATATGTTTATAGTTTTCCCCTTTACAAAGATCAGGAACAATATTGTACTGAAGTAGTGGTAATTGGCACTCTTATTTCATTCCTGATTTCAGGTTTTCAAATTTTCACCTTAAGTATGATGTTTTCTATAGGATTTTAAAAATCTACATTTTATTAGATTAAGTAAATTACCATCTATTTATAATTTTCTAAGATTTATTTTAAAAATAATGTTATCCCTAGCCAGTTTGGCTCAGTGGATAGAGGATCAGCCTGCAGACTGAAAGGTCCCAGGTTCAATTCCCAGTCAGGGCAGATGATCAGGTTGCCAGCTCCATCCCAGTGTGGGGCATGCAGGAGACAGACAGCTCTATCCACTGAGCCAAACTGGTTTCGGCAGTATATTGTATTTTATATGTTACTAATCCTCCGGTATAATTTTAAAAGCAGTATTTTATGCAGTTGTCTTTTGAATCAGGAAAAGTAAACAAAAACATTTATATTATCTAATTACCTACATGATTCCCTTTACACCTCCTACTGGGAATGTGCCCAGAACCGAGTTACATGCCCTTGACAGGAATCGAACCTGGGACCTTTCAGTCTGCAGGCTGACGCTCTATCCACTGAGCCAAACCTTTTTTGGCTATAGTGGATTACTTTTGATTTTCCTTCAACTCTTCTATGTGAAATGAACAAAAATTTGTCTGTTTATTGATTTTTCTTTTTTCTTTTTAGAGAGAGAGTGAAACATCAATCAGCTGCTTCCTGCATACCCCCTACTGGGGATCAAGTCCAAAACCTAGGCGTGTGCCCTGACCAGGAATTGAATTGGCAACTTTTTGGTGCATGGGGTGATGCCTAACCAGATGAGCCACACCAGCCAGGGCAGGATATAATATTGTTATTATATTGATGAGTTTTGTTACTAGTTTGTTTTGGTGTTTTGTATCAATGGTCATGAGTGAGATTGTCTCATAATTCTGTTTTGTTTTAAAATTCTCTTGGATTCCCAAAGCAAGTTGGATAAGAGATTTCTTTTCTTTTTTTTTTTTTTCTTGGAATACAAGAAGCTTTGGCATTTATTCATTTTATCCACTTATCATTGGCAAACTGGTTGGGATACATTTATTTGTAACAACCTGTACTACTTGGGTTGTCAAGTGGTGATATTCTAACTCTGCCTTTTTTTTTTTTTTTCACGTGTGAACTGTAATAATCTTATAAGAGATGCTTCCCCTCATCTACTCTGATGAATCACTGGTACCGTTTATTTGAGGAAGGCAGGAAAAGAGGGAAAAGGATATCCTGTGAGGAATGCATCTTGAAGGCCTTCAGTGCATTGAACTCTAAGGCACCCTGGGGAAGTTTGAGAAGCTGGAGAGTAACGGGAGCCTGGGCCAAGGATAGAACAGTTTCAGGATGGGGCCGGTTTGGGAAAGGAGAACAGAAGGACTTACATACTGAGTGTTCAACAAGTGCAGGAAGAATGTGTGGTGCGAGCATTATGTTTGGTACCTAACTAAAGGCCAATTAGTTTTGGCAGTACCTTGTTTCCCCGAAAATAAGACAGTGTCTTAGATTAATTTTTGCTCCCAAAGATATGCTAGGTCTTATTTTCAGGGGAGGTCTTATTTTTCCATGAAGAAGAATACGGTACACATTGATTGTTAAATGAAAATAAAGGAAATTTATTACCTGTATACGGTACGGTAGTAAGGTAGTTGTCAACACAAACCAGACAAACTGTGAATCCTACAGTATCAAGAATTTACTCATTTATTCAATGACAATCATGTCATCCTCTTCTGGAACATCATCATAACAATCCAATTCCTGAATTTCCTGGTGAATTTCTTGTGACTCTATTTCTTTCAGAATCAGTGGACCAAATCTCTCATGTTTAGCCTGGGGGGGGGGGGGGCTTATTTTCGGGGGGATGCCTTATATTTCACTCAGAAGGAAACCTGTAAGTAGGTCTTATTTTTGGAGGATGTCTTATTTTCGGGGAAACACGGTAGTTGGGGGAGGGGGCAGCAGGTGGGAGGAGGTTTCTCAGCTGCCAGCTGGTGGGTGATCCTTGGAGAATTAAGGTCTCTGATGGGGAAGAGAGTTACTTTTAAAGGAGCAGGTCACTTGGGCTTGTTTGAGCATGCGCTCTCTGGGGACTCTCAGGCATCAATGCTGCAACTTCTAGAGAAGCTCAGTCACGATGCCCTCTCAAGGGCAGAAAGCCCCACGCAGGGGCGGCTGGGAGGGACGTGGGAGTGGGGGTGGCCAGGCCTTCGTGCCCGGGGCCTGCAGGGTGAAAGGCAGAATGAGGGAGATGCACTGTGCAGGCCACGCTCCAGCAGGCGCGGAAGATGCAGGGAAACGGGGAGGAGAGAGTGTGGACAGCGAAGAAGTCAAGGTCAGTGAATCAAAGAACCCAAGTGAAGTGAAGCCGGGAGCACGTCTGTCTGATTTAGCACAGATGTGATCCATGTCTGGAAGCCAGGGGCAGACTCATAAATTCCCCCAGCGTTAAATATAGTGTGGCGAGAAAAGCGAGTATTGATCTGTAATTGCATCACGCTGCTATAAATATTATTTCATTGTTTTCTAACCCCTGTAAGTCTGTTTTATGTGACAATGGCTTCTTGTTCGTAAATTAATTTTAGCAGTCCTAGGCTATAGAGATTATATGCTTCTTTTTTTTCCCCTCTACCCTCAGCAGGCTGGTTTTATTTTTCCTAGGTAATTTATCCATAGGTTTAAAATAGAAAGGCATGTCTGATCGCGGGCTAAGTTCTGTTTGATTCTAGGATGGCGTACCTTCTGCATCGTGATGTTAAAGCTGTAGTCTTCCCTGCCGTGGATCTCCCACACGATGAAATTTACTTCCACGTCTTCGATGTAGCCGTTTTCATTGTGTCTGGAAAACAGCAAACACAAAACACCACTGCATCATGCTGCTATAAACGTTATTTTATTTTTTTTTTTAAATGCATGTTATCGATTTTACACAGAGAGGAATTGAGAGGGACAGAGAGTTAGAAACGTCGATGAGAGAGAAACGTCGACCAGCTGCCTCTTGCACACCCCCCCCAACTGGGGATGTGCCCGCAACCAAGGTCCATGCCCTTGACTGGAACCGAACCCGGGACCTTTCAGTCCGCAGGCTGATGCTCTATCCACTGAGCCACACCGGTCCCGGCTGTAAACGTTATTTTATTTCTTCTGGCCCCTCTAAGGCTGTCTTACGTGACGATGGCTCTTTTTTCATAAGTTAATTTTCAGTGGCTGGCTTCATTTTCCAGTGGCATAGGAGGATCGAGAGGTCTGGCTTTCGAGTTGGACGGGCTTAGGCTTCAATCCTGTCCTCATCACTGGCCAGCTTTGTGACCTGAGGAAGCTCCTTCAGCTCTTGAGGCCTCCACGCTCCTCCCTGGGAAACCATCACCGTGCCTGCTGTGCGGATTTCCTCCTGCTCTAAGAATACACCAGACAACTGGGACCAGTTTGGCTCAATGGATAGAGCGTCGGTTGGGGACTGAAGGGCCCCGGGTTTGATTCCGGTCAAGGGCATGTACCTTGGTTGTGGGCACATTCCCAGTAGGCGGTGTGCAAGAGGCAGCTGATCGATGGCTCTCTCTCATTGATGTTTCTAACTCTCTATCTCTCTCCCTTCCTCTCTGTACAAAAATCAATAAAATATATATATTTCTTAAAAAAAGAATACACCAGACAGTAACAAAGCAGTTTTGTTGTTGTTGTTTGTTGTTTTTTTAACAGTTGGAGCTGTAACTTCTATTTACCTGACAGGAACCATGTATTGATAAGGCGAGGGTGGCCAGGGCCCTGTGAGCAGGCTGGCAGCAGGGAGAAAGATGGAAGTGAGCTAGGGAGGGAGGGAGGGAGGGCGGAGCAAGATCCCCTGGTGTCATTTAATCCATGAATATCCAGTGTGGCTCGTATGTCCCCGGGAATGAACCCACAGAATGACCCCCGTGAGGATGGAGATGCTGCAGGTCTCCCTGGAGGAGGCGGCTGGAGGTGGCGCTGGGGTCAGAGGGTTGGCTGCCCTCAGGAGAACAGGGGTGGGCTGAGAAGCAGGAGTCATCAGAAGCTCCTGGAGTGGCCGGGTCCGGTTTGGCTCAATGGATAGAGCGTCGGCTTGGGGACTGAAAGGTCCCGGGTTCGATTCCGGTCAAGGACATGTGCCTTGGTTGCGGGCATATCCCCAGTAGGGGGTGTGCAAAAGGCAGCTGATCGATGACTCTCACATCGATGTTTCTAACTCTCTAGCTCTCTTCCTTCCTCTCTGTACAAAATCAATAAAATACTTGAGACATACACCCCATTGAGATTAGAATATTTACCCTAAACTCAGTGAGTTTTAAAAGAGATGTGTTGCTGAAACCGGTTTGGCTCAGCGGATAGAGTGTCGGCCTGCGGACCGAAAGGTCCCGGGTTCGATTCCGGCCAAGGGCATGTACCTTGGTTGCAGGCACATCCCTGGTAGGGGTTGTGCAAGAGGCAGCTCTGGTCGATGATTCTCTCTCATCGATGTTCCTAGCTCTCTACCCCTGTCCCTTCCTCTCTGTGAAAAATCAATAAAATATATCTTAAAAAAATAAATAAATAAAAGAGATGTGTTACTTCAAATTAGTAAGATTATTTTTTCCTGCTATCATCAAGAAATAAGCACTCGAGCCGGGATCGGTTTGGCTCAATGGATAGAGCGTCGGCTTGGGGACTGAAGGGTCCCGGGTTCGATTCCGGTCAAGGGCATGTACCTTGGTTGCGGGCATATCCCCAGTGGGGGGTGTGCAAGAGGCAGTTTATTGATGACTCTCTCTCATCGATGTTTCTAACTCTCTATCTCTCTCCCTTCCTCTCTGTATCAAAATCAATAAAAAATATATTTAAAAAAATAAAAAAAAGAAATAAGCACTTGACCTCAGCTGGCGTGGCTTAGTGGTTGAGTGTTGACCTATGAATCAGGAGGACAAGGTTTGATTCTGGCTCAGGGCACATGCCCAGGTTACAGGCTTGATCCCCAGTAGGGGGTGTGCAGGAGGCAACCAGTCAATGCCTTTCTCTCCTTTCCTTTCTGAAATATATATATATATATATAGACTTAAGACCAAAGTTAAAGTTCAGGTGCTGATAAAGGCACACTTTTGCTAACCAGAGCTTGTGACTGATTTAAAATGGTTCTGGGTCTTCCTTCTCTGCCAGTTATTGCTTGTTTTTCTCAATGGAATTGTCCCCTACGCTCCTGGGATGGGCATTTCACGTAGGTCCTTGGGCTCAGGCAGGATGCCTCAGTGTCTGATGTATTTTCTGGGTCCCATCTCTGTGTCCATTCATACAAAACAACAGATCCCTGCTGGCGTCTCGAGACCTTCACCGCCCAGGTCTCTGCTGACTTTGCAGTTATTTTATCTGGCTTCCCAGGCCGGCTACAAATTGCTACCATCCACTCCTGTTTATAAAAAAGCAGTTATTGTCCCATTCTCACAAACTGGGCAGAAAAAAAATTTAAGTGTCAGAAAGTGGTATCTGGGACGCTGTTTCGTTTTCATGTGAATTTTTCTTAGAAATCGTAAAGAGAGATCAGATGTGAGTAACGAGTAGCGGACTTGTGCTTGGAGCGGTAGGAAAGTCGTAGAGAACTAACACGTGTGGGAATATACACAATTTTGTACACAGTTTCAGAGATTTGGGTCAGGCTTCAGTAAAGCTCTAATTCTAGAACTTCTGAAGGTGCAGCACGCTTGATTGCATCTTCTATAAGCGATCATATTTTTTGAATGACTGAGACTAGTTGCAAAACCATGTTTTCTTTCAATGAAGAGGATCTTGAACTCTGAGCTGGCATCTTTTAACGCTCACAACAAAACGATAAGCTACAGTGCCATCTAGTGGCAATAGGATAAATTGCATGACTCCTGGGCTTGGGAGTCCTAATATTTGGCAACTGGGGAAGATTTGACTTTGGGTGGTGGAAAATACAGATTATGCCACATAGAAACCCACATCTGAAATCTGTATGTTCATGTGGGCCAATATCATCCCAATCAGTTTAATAAATAAATATTTTTTAATAATGATCTTAATTAATTTTTTTATTTATTCCATTGAGATTATGGGACAAAAATACTTGCCTGGGTAAGCATGGCTTATTTTCATTAATGTTCACTAATAGAAGATATACGATTACTAAAATCTGGGAAATTTAGAAATGGCACTAGTAGTCAACTAACTGCCTTACAGTTAGTTGTGACTTCCCTCTGCAACTTTTACTTTTGGGAAGGAGAGACCTCTCAGCTGACCCTGCAGACACATGATTTCAATCCCGGGCCTAGTGACCCTGGAGGGACTGACCTCCCAGGGTTAATTACTTTATAGAGATAGAGCTGAAACCGATTTGGCTCAGCGGATAGAGCGTCGGCCTGCGGTCTGAAAGGTCCCAGGTTCGATTCCGGCCAAGGGCATGTACATTGGTTGTGGGCACATTCCCAGTAGGGGATGTGCAGGAGGCAGCTGATCGATGTTTCTCTCTCATCGATGTTTCTCTCTATCCCTCTCTCTTCCTCTGTGTAGAAAATCAATAAAATATATTTTTTTTAAAAAAAAAGAAGTGTAATTTGTAGAGATAGCAAATAATTGGCCTTTGAGCATGCCTTTCCTATGCTCAAAGGCCAATTATTTGGCCTTTGCAAGTCAACCAATCCAGAGCCCCCACCCCAACCACCTCCTTCCTGGGTGCTCATACGCCAAGCCACTATCTAACTGCCCTAATCACCCGGGGCCAGGTGTCAGACAACTGGTGGCAGCTCTTAGGCCCAGAGCCTGCTCACATTTTCCAAAACAGATGACCCTAAGCCTGCTTTACCCTCCTTATCCAGTTTTTCCCACAGAAAACGCTGGAAAAGCTCTCACCCCAGCTTCCCCTCATTCCCTTTGCTCCTGACTACCCTGGTGCTTCCCATGTGACCCTATATGACCCGCTGTGCCTCCTGTTTCTTGGGATCAGTGTGTAGAACAAGTGTCTTCCTTCACAACAGTCATTTCTGTCTATGTGTCTTCCCATCTATATATGTAAAAGCCTAATATGCAAATTGTCCCTCAGGAGTTCAACCAGGAGACTGGGAGTTCAATCACACATTATGATGTGCACTGATCACCAGGGGGTGGCACAGAATGAAGGTCCTGGCCGACAGCCAGAAGGCCCCCATCATCTCTGATCGCTGACGAGGCCTAGGGACTCTGTCCGTGCAAGAATTTTCTGCACAGGGCCTCTAGTATCTGATGAAAACAAATCTCGAGTGCCCCTAAATAGCCATAATGCCTGTTCTTGAACTCCCTGCCCCAGAGTAGAGCAAGGTGGATTCTGTGGCACCACAGTTCAGTTTGGGAAGGATTGTCATGGGCGTTGAGAAAGCAAAGAGGCAGCTGGGATGACTTGCATTGCTGGCTGGACCATACTCCCAGGACTTGCTTCATTCTTGCTAGTGTGTGATGATGAATCTGTTGTCCTTTCATCTGTAAAATTCTGCCCAGCCTTGTTCCTGAGCCATTCTTTATAGTGGTAAGGTAATCTGGTGTCCTAGGCTACAGGCTAATTTCCCAGGTGAGCAGGGGCGCCAGACCAAGGCGGGGCACCAGCCACTGTCATCGGGGCGAGCCTCTGGTGGTTACCGAAAATTCTTTGCTCCCACATGGCATGGTCCTGCCCGGCACTCGCACCTGCTGCTGGTGCTGACCCCACTCCCACCCGCTGCTGGCATTGGAGCTGCTGCTCACACCCACTGCCAGTGCCAGCCCCGCTCACACCCACAGCTGGTGCTGGAGCCACCGCTCAGACCTACGCCAGTGTCCGGTGCTGGCCCCGATCGCTCAGTGCTATGAGCAGATGTTAGTGGTGGCTGCTGGCCCTGATCGCCCCTGAGGGTTTCTCCACTCCCCCACCCTCCTCCTCCTAAGGGGTGATCCATCAGGGCAGCAGCCACCCCTCGCACCTGTTGACAGCGCTGGCCCCACTCGCACCCTCTGCTGGCGCTGTCCCCAGTCGCTCCGTGCCATTAGCGGATGCAAGTAGGGCCAGCGCTGTCAGTCAGCACATGGGAGTGGAGCTGTGGGCAGAGAGGGAACAGGGGGTTGTGGTGGAAAGAGCCGGGTAGGGGCATGGAGGATGGGTCAAGACCCGCCCCTGTGCTTACCGAGCCTGGCAGCCCACAGTTCCTTTCAAGGTGCACGAATTTGTGCACTAGGCCCCTAGGATGAAATAAACAAAGTATACTGGGCATTGGTGAGAGGAAGAGTGTGGGGTGCCCAGGAGGAGCAGTGGCCTAAGTGGGTGTAGAGAAGATTAAACTAAACAAGACAGCAGACTAACCGGAGGCTCAGAGGACCCGTGACAGAGGGATTGTGGGAGGTGATGTAGGAGAGTGAGGAAACAGCGGGGAGTCTTTCAACTGCCATGGTGAGGAGTGTGGGTTTGTGTGTGTGTGGTGGGGGGGGAGAAGGTGGAGGATATGCTGGCAGAGGCCTTTTGGATCCTCACAGGGAAAAGTTTGATGGCAAAACTGAATTGGAACTCCTGACTCATTACTCCACACCCACCCACCTTGTGGGATCCCAGAAACTGAATGCCTTGACTACAATTTTGAGGTCTTACACCTAGGATTTTACTTTCAGTAATGCATCCTAATGGCATCTCTAGACTAGAGTCCAAACATGTACATGAGTGGATATTCACTATTATTCTATTTATAACAGCAAAAACAATTAGAAACATGATCATTTATCTTTTTATATATATATTTAAAATTGTTGTAACAATGTGACTTCTGTAATCATAAATCAAGGATAAAGTCAGAGAAGCAAGCAAATGAATATAAAATTACTTGAAAAAGCCTTCCTCGGAGCATTTTTTACTTAATATTTTAATACCGTTCATAAGAATTAAGTTAGATATTTCTGAAATCTCACTATTCCCTCATTAGTAATAGTTTCTTTCCTTGCAAGCTTTTGTTATTAGGGGGCCCATAGAAAGAAAAGTCAGATGTCATCCCAGGAAGGTAGTTTCTATCAAACCTTCAGTAGGAGCTTGGGATGCGATTTAGAGAGGGAAACTGAGGGTTAAGAGACTGCCTACAATCCTGCCAGCATGGCTCAGTGGTTGAGCATCGACCAATGAACCAGGAGGTCATGGTTTAATCCCCATCAAGGCACATGCTTAATCCCCAGTAGTGGGTGTGCATGAGGTAGCTGATGAATGATTCTCATCATGGATGTTTCTCTCTCTTCCTCTCCCTTCCTCTCTGAAATCAATAAAAATATATATTTCTTAAAAAAGAGACTGCTTAACATCTGAGAAGAGTCTCAGCTTTCTTAAATTGTAATCTTTCTCAACATGCAGAAACCCTGGGTTATATAACTTTAGTTAACTAGTACTGAAAACCTAATGTCACATATATTGGGTGTCCAAAAATATTTATTATTAAATGCATGATTAATTAGCCCTATTTTCATCCTTTATTTTGAAACTTTGAAAGTAAGTTCAAATTTTAGTAGAATATACTTACAGTTCAAGCAAAGGGTGAAAATTTGTTCTGAAATCAACTTTTAATGGGCAGCCATATTTTTTCCAACTATATTTTACTCTCTAGAAAAGGAAAAATGCTTTGGTTACTTTCTATATTAGGCTGATTAATAAAATTATAGTTTTTCTTACCAAGTTTTTATCTGGTTGATGCCTCAGATATGACCTGGAAAAAGATATTTTTATTATTTATGTTTCCTCTTTTCAAACTTAAACATTAAACCATTACTTGGTTTGGGTAGGGAGTTATCACAGAAGTCAAGTAGATAATCATAATTCCAAAATACTATCAAAATATGTGTAGAACAAACTACAGTTTTAAGTAATACATGAGTGAAAGAAGAAATCTTAAGAGAAATTTAAAAATACTTCAAACTAAATAAAAAAGAAAATGCAACTTTTCAAAATTTGTGAGATGCAGTGCCTAGAAGTAAATTTATAGCAATAAATGCATATATTATAAAAGACTGATATTAATAGGAATGAATACTGATTCTAAATTATTGATACTAAATTAATAAAAAAATCAGTGCTTGTGTTACAATATTTCTTACTTTTCAATAATGTAGAAGAAATCATGCCGAGGACAATCGTTGTAATCAAATCTACAAAAGGAAACATATTGAAATTGTAATATAATTTATTTTTAATACTTGCACAAACATTTAATCATTTAACTCAGTAATTCTAAAACTTGAGAGTAATACAGAGTCTTCACATATTGAATTACAATCTCTGGGTTGGTGTGTTGCCCTAGCATTTCTGTTTTTAAAAATCAGTGTCACAAATGTTCCTGAAGACACCAGAATTTGAAGTCTATTGATTTATTTCTCCTCTTTAATAACGGTGAAAAATTGATAGGAAATCTATAAAAAATGAAGACAAATTTCTGTGGATGGTTTTATTCCTCATACATTTTTTAATTTTTAAAATATATTTTTATTGATTTCAGAGAGGAAAGGAAAGGGAGTCAGAAACATCAATGAGAGAAAATCATTGATTGGCTGCCTCTTGCATGTCCCACACTGGGGATCAAGCCTGCATCTCAAACATGTGCCCTTGACCGAAATCAAACCCAAAACACTTCAGCCTCCAGGCCAACGTTCTATCCACTGAGCCAAACCAGCTAGAGAAAATATGTTATTATTGATTTCAGAGAGAAAGGGAGAGGGAAGAGAGATAGAAATATCAATGATGAGAGAGAATCATTGATCTGCTGCCTCCTGCATGCCCCCTACGGGGAATTGAGCCCACAACCCAGACATGTGCCTTGACCAGGAATTGAATCTTAACCTCCTGGTCAATGCTGAACCACTGAGCCACACCTGCCAGGACCTCAGACACTTTTTAAAATATACATTTCTAATTTATTCTAGAGACTCAGTTGTGCAGGTAAGGAGCTACTTTAAGGATTCACATATTTCTTTTCTTTTTTTTTTCAGGAACAATTTTAAAAATATTTTTATTTATTTATTTTTAATAAATCTTTATTGTTCATATTAGTACAAATGTTCCTTCCCCCCACTCCATTGCTCCTCTTTACCAGGTTCCCACCCCACCCTCTGCCCTTTCCACACCCCCATTGTCCTCATCCATAGGTGCACAGTTTATGTTCAGTCTCTTCCCACATCCCTCTCTCCCCTTTTCCCCGAGAATCATCAGTTCACTCCCCTTCCATACCTCTGATTCTATTATATTCAACAGTTAATATTGTTCATCAGATTTTTTTTAAAATTTCCTTGGGTTATAGATTCACTTGTTGATAGTTACATATTTGTTGTTCATAGTTTTCATCTTTATTTACTTTCTCTTCCGAAAGAACCCCCTTCAGCAATTTATATAATTCTGGTTTGGTGGTGGTGAACTCCTTTAGTTTTTATTTATTTATTTATTTATTTATTTATTTATTTATTTATTTATTTATTTTAATTAGTGAAGCTCTTTATCTGACCTTCGATTCTGAGTGATAGCTTTGCTGGGTAGAGTATTTTTGGCTGTAGGTTCTTACTATTCATCACCTTGAATATTTCTTGCCATTCCTGTCTGGCCTGCATGGTTTCTGTTGAGAAATCAGCTGACAATCATATGGGTGCTCCTTTATAGGTAACTACCTGCTTTGCTCTTGCTGCTTTTAATATTCTCTCTTTGTCTTTTGGTCTTGGAATTTTAATTATGATTTGTCTTGGTGTGGTCCTCTTTGGATTCCTTTTGTTTGGAGTTCTGTGCACTTCCTGAACTTGTAAGTCTAATTCTTTCACCAGGTGGGGGAAGTTTTCTGTCACTATTTCTTTCAGTATGTTTTTGATATCTTGCTCTCTCTCATCTTCTGGGATCCCCATAATTCTGATGTTGGTTCACTTGAAGTTGTCCCAGAAGTTTCTTACATTGTCTTCAATTTTCTGGATTCTCTTGCCTTCTTGCTTCTGCGGAGAAGTGTCTTCTGGCTCTTTGTGTTCCAAATTTTTGACTTGATTCTTGCGATCTTCCATTCTGTTTTTAGGACTCTGTATAATATTTTTTATTTCAGACAATATATTCTTTATTTCTTGTTGACTCCTTATTATTTCTTGTTGATCCCTTATTATTTCTAGTTGATCCCTTTTCATATCCTCATAGGTCTTATCGACCTTTTCTAGGAAATTCTTGAAAAACCTTATAAGCGTGGTTTTGAACTCTATATCCAGTCGCTTTTTGTCCTCCATTTCTTTTATTTGTGATCTATTTCCTTGTCTCAGCATTTTCGCAGCTTCCCTGAGTTGATAGCCTTAAATGTCTCTGTGTTCAGTTGGATGGGGTGGAGTTTCAGGGTGGAGCCTACAGCCTTGGCTTCCGTCAGTCACACCCTATGCAGCTCCTGAGTCTCAGTGTTCCTCAGGGTCCTTCGGTACTCGCTGCAAGCACCTCTGGGAGTGAGGTGCCCTAGAGTTTCGCCTGCTACCAAACAGTCTAGTCTCTCCTCCAATGAGCCCAGAACTGGGGTTCAGTTCAGTTGGAATTGAGGTTGGAAGTGGAGTTCAGAGAAGTCTGGAGCTTTGTCTCCTTCCCGCCAGGGCAATCCCGCGGCACAGCCAACCGCCCGTTTTCTGCACGCAATGTGCGCGCCTCTGGGACCTCCTTTCGCCGCTCCCCTGGGGTTCCGCCTTACAGCCCAGTCTCCCTCGGTTTGAGCCTGGGTCCCCGGGATCTGGCCTAGAACTGGGGTTCAGAGCAGTCGGAACTGGGGCTCAGCACAGTCCGGAGCTTTTGTCTCCTTCCCACTAGGGCAATCTAGTAGTAAAGTCAATAGTCGTCCTCTGCGTGCAATGTGCGCACCTCCGGGGGCTCTGCCTTTCGCCACTCCCCTGATAATCTGCCTCAGAGCCCAGGCTCCCTCTGTATGAGCCTGGGTCCCCAGGGTCTGGCCTAGAACTGGGGTTCAGCGCTATCGGGTCTGGGGTTCAGCACAGTTTGGAGCTTTTATCTCCTTCCCGTTAGGGAACACCAGCCAGGCACTCAGCCACCCCCTCCCTCCTCTCCAGCTCCGTTCTCTCTGCATGCGCAGCATGTCTCCGTACCTTAGGCTTTTCCAGCTACTTTGATTTTTCCTTTTGGTTTTCTCTTTCCTTCTCGTTGTAGAATTTCCAGTCAGTCGACTTTCCTGTAGTTCTGGGTAATGTTCATTTTATATTTTATTGAAATTGTTGTGTGCGGCTGGGGTTAGGTGTTTACCTGTGCAGCCATCTTGGATCCTCTCCAAAAATTCACATATTTCTAATTAGGGTTTATGCAGCCATGTTATATGAAATGATAGCATTTTCTGGAAGTTAAATTATTCATTTGACCATTTTCATTGGCTGCTTCCAGTGGAACTCATAAGAATAAACCACGGTGTTTAGATAGATATTGGAAGTCTAGGCTATCTCCCATCTCACATGCAAATTAGACCCCAAGAAATGCCCTCCTTCATTGACAAGTGTCCGGTCAGAAGTACCTTGGGCCCCATAGGTCTCCAATGGCAACTGTAAAGTGTTAGGCCTCTACAACCACAACCGACATCTAAGATATTAGGGTTATTTTTAGGTTCCAGAACAGTGAGCCACTGACTAAGAGGCCTGAACCTCCGTCTTGAAGTCTGTGTTTTGTAAACACGCTCTCCCGGTGATTCTGATGAGTAACTAGCTTGACGATCCGCTGTCTAGACCCTCCCACAAGTGGATTGACTCCAACTGCTTGGCCCCTCCCTGAAGCAGGAAACCCACATTCAGTGGTACTGGGAATTCATTTTTGTAACTTGTTGCTTAGAGCAGCTATTCTCAAATTTTCATGCCCCTACTAATTTTATGGGAAAATTTTTTAAATAGAGGTTCTGACTCAGCAGATGTGAGATGAAACCTGACATCTGCATTTCTAATAAGTTCCCAGGGGATACCTGGTCCATAGACCATACTCTAATGAGCAAGGATGTAGAGCATCTCAGAAACAGCATGTTATAGGCTGTATAAATCAATTAGCCTTTGCGTTTCCTGGAAATGCAGATTCCTTGCTGAATGAGATGGTAATACTTAACACATTTCAGATGGATCACGAGAATTTGAGTGTTTTCTCTTCTAAGGATTGTGGCCAATCACGAGAATTCTTTAAAAAAAAAAAAAAATAATTAGCTTGTGGCAGCAGAGCTAAACACCTAAACTTGCAGCCTCGAACAACAATTTCAAAACTACAACTGAGTGGAAAGTCTACAACTAGAAGGAAAGAGAAAGGCAGTATGAATCTGGGTCCCCAGAGTCTCAACCGGAACTGGAGTTCAGAGCAGTCGGGAGCTTGTGTTTCCTTGTGGATTGAAAAAGCCAGCTGCGTACTCAGTTGCCAGCCCTCTCCGTGCATGCACCTCTGTACTTTACTTCCGCAGCTCCTCTGAGTCTCAGTGTGCTTTTCCCTTCCCTTCTAGTCGTAGACTTTCCACTCAGCCAGCCTCCCTGTGGTTCTGAATGATGTCCGTTTTGTCTTTTAGTTGTAGTTTTGAAGTGATTGTCTGAGGCTGCAAATTCTGGTGTCTATCTATGCCTGCCATCTTGGTTTCTCCTCAAAAAGCTGATTCTCAATTCAATTTTTTTTTTTAATTACACTGGACATGTCAGTCATTAGCCTAAATTATCACTAATAATTACCAATTAGTTTACCACTTGTTTTTATAACGTAGAGTAAGACAGGTCAAATGTAAATATACTTGCCCTTTAACCACAATGTATTTGCTGGTATCACAGCCAACAGCTACTTGGAACACCTAAAATGAAGTAATTAGGTTGGTAAGTTCAGTGGTTCTGACCTACACATTTCTATAGCTAAAAGCAATTCAATTTCAAATTAGAAATAATAACCTTTTAAGTGTATTTTCCTACTTCTTTAATCACTTTTTAAAAATACATACATACATAAATACACACACACACACACACATATATACATTTTAGCCGAAACCAGTTTGGCTCAGTGGATGGAGCATCAATCAGCCTGCAGACTGAAAGGTCCCAGGTTTGATTTTGGTCAAGGGCATGTACCTTGGTTGTGGTCACATCCCCAGGGGGGGTGTGCAAGAGGCAGCTGATTGAGGTTTCTCTCTCATCTATGTTTCTAATCCTCTATCCCTCTCCTGTCCTCTCTGTAAAAAATTTAAAATTTAAAAAAATACTTTTTTAAAATTGATTTCAGAGAGGAAAGGAGAGGGGGAGAGAGAGATAGAAACATTAATGATGAAAGAGAATCATGGGTCACCTGTCTCCTGCATGCCCCTACTGGGGACCGAGCCCGCCACCTGGGCATTTGTCCTGACTGGGAATTGAATTGTGACCTCCTGGTGCATAGGTAGAAGCTCAATCACTGAACCACACTGGCCAGGCTATGCATTATTTTTTAAAATTTATTTTTTAATTGTAGTTGGTATACAATACTGTATTAGTTTCAGGTGTACAAGATAGTGATTAGACATTTATATACCTTATGAAGTGTTGCCCCCAATAAGTCTAGGACCCATCTAACACCATACATAGTTATTACAATATTACTGATTATATTCCCTATGCTGTACTTGACATCCCTGTGACTATAACTAGAAATTTGTATTCATGTATTACTGAAGTAAATTGCTGCACTGTACATCCTGTGGCTATTTTTATAACTGGGAATTTGTATCTATGTATTATTGAAACACATCTTTTTAAACCTTTCATCAGTGTCACTTACCCTTGGGGGTGTTGGGCATGTTTTTTCAAATTCACTGGGCCTCACCTGGATAACCATGTGACCCATGTTCTGGTCTCTAGGGAGAAACAACAACACAGGTCAGTACAGGCTCACAGGGGAGTAGACATGACTCTGCCTTTCTGTAGAGCAGACAAGAGCCCCATGTGCCTGCTGTGACTGGCCCCTCCTGAGAAATGCTGGGGGACTGGGGAAGGGTGGGGTGACAGCGCCCTGCTTGTGCTGAGGGCACCACCATCCAACCTGAAAGTCATTCCCACCTCATGGTATTCCTCTGGCCAACATAGGGTTGACACAATGGCAACAGAAATGAGCATCTGCCAGCATTTCAACCCCTCGATTCACTAACGCTCTCAGTGCCTGGAGGGCAGAGGCCTGCTGCTTCCTGACCCCATTAATGGTTGCAGTCCCAGTGTTGGTGATTCCTTCTTGAGCCTCTACTGGCATTCCCTCCTATTGGTGACACCTCTGGAGCAATGAAGACTAAGTTATGAAATTAGTCTGTACATCGCATTATGCTGCACAATATGAGCTGACTGGAATGGAAAGGGAGAATAAACACAGTGCCTTTCTACCTTATGAAATGCTTATAAGTCTTTTGTGCTCAGGCAAAACAGGACTCAACATCACAGGAGACATTTAGAAGGCTTTATCCGCCCCTCACCTCTGCTAAGGTTATTACTGTTGGAAAAAACTGGGGGAAAACAAATACAAGCTAACTAACCACAAACAAATGTTTGTTTTTCTCCCAATATTTATTATATTTTAATATTTGTTTAGTTATATAATTTATATACAATGTAATAAGTAAATAGGATACAAATAGCTCATTTTCATATTTTAAAATCAGAGTACCATATTACACCAATTCTAAGATTCATTTTTTTTTTCTCATTTAACAATTTTGAAATCAGGAAGGATCTTATAACTAGATATAACTATGCCAATTATGGTGTTTGTTTGTTTTTTTTTCAATCTGAGGGCACCTTTGATTTGATAAAGGACACTAAAATAAATATTTTATCTTTAATTTCCGAGTTTTTTTTTCTCTTCTCTCTCCCCCCCCAGTTTTTCTTATGGGCACATTTTTTCCCCTATCATGGCTGATTTCAAAACTTTTGGTGTTTTTTTTTTTTTTTCCAAGTCTCAGTGTCCTGGATAGTTTGATATGTATTCTACAGAATTCTCAGTAATATCCACCTCACCCGAAATGCCAGTCTACCCCACAACATTAAAAGAATGAGAAATGGTGGTGGGGGAGGAAAAGGGGATGGCTATCATGTCTAGAGTAGCATTTTACTCCCTGTCCTTCCTGGCCATACTCTACCACCTCATTGTTTTATTTTCTCAGTAGTACTTATAATGATTTGGCATTATCTTGTCTACTTATTGGAGCACTTTTCCCACTAGGGATCTGTCCAGAGCAGTGCTTCCCTCTTCTTTTTCATTGGGCAGGTTGAACACCTAGAACATACCTGGCATAGAGTGGACTTCTTCCCAGAAAAACAATGCTATTTTTCAAGAAAATATTTTGAGTCAGGACAATGAGAAACATAGAAAAGCCTTAAGACACAATTCCAAGTTGCTTGTCTTTCTCCAGAAATTAAATGTTTAGTGCTACCTTATTCCAAGAGTCAGAGATGGGCTTTTTGTTTTTTCATTTTTAAAAAAATATATTTTATTGATTTTTACAGAGAGAAAAGGAGAGGGATAGAGAGTTAGAAACATTGATGAGAGGGAAACATCAATCAGCTGCCTCCTACAACACCCCCTAATGGGGATGTGCATGCAACCAAGGCACATGCCCTTGACTGGAATCGAACCTGGGACCCTTTAGTCTGCAGGCTAATGCTCTATCCACTGAGCCAAACTGGTTAGGGCCAAAGATGGTGTTTTTTGTTGTTGTTGTTGTTGTTTTTTAACTGATTCTACTACTACTTTAAGACTTTCGGGAACATCAGCATTCTAGTTTTTGCTTAAGGATAGTATGTAAAGACGTTGGGATGAGAAAAAAGGGTAAAGATGCTCAAAAAGTATTGAATAAAGAAACAGCACCCCAAGAGGAACGAAGATGGTGGCGTAGGTAAACACACCTAAATTGCTGCCATGCACAACAATTTCAAAACTACAACTAAAAACCAAGGGAAAGCTGGCTGAAAGGATGCTGTAGAACTAGACTGAAAGAGAAAGAGAAGAATTCAGGGCACGAGCACTGAAAAACTGAGGTAGGGGGGTGTGGACGTGATAAGAGCTGGCGGAGGATCCTGGCTGGTGGAGGGCGTTGCTTTCTTCAACCCAAAGAGAGACAAGCTCCCGATCTCTCTGAAGTCCTGTTTCTGTGGAGAAGCTAGACTGTCTGCCATCAGGTCGGAAAGTGAGGGCGGCTTGCTTGCAGAGCTGCACGCAAGAATAATTGTTTGCTGTGCTGTGGTACGGGTCACGGGGAGACGCGGGGATGTGATCAGAGAGGTGGCTGATGGGCAGCTATTGCTGTTGGCCACGGCCCAGACTAGTGACGCACTGAGACTCCGCCCTGAGACTCTGCCTCGCACAAACTACAAACACACCCAAGCTCCAAGCAGCAGCTTTTGCATACGAATGGCCCTCTCTATTGCAGTTTAATCTAGCAAACTTGCAACCTGGTGCAGACAACTCCAAGAAGGGAGGAGAGGACTGTGGTTCTCACTGTAGCTCCTGCAGGGTGGCCTCAGACGGTAGCTGAACTGCACCCCAGTGGAGATCCAGAAGCTGTGTTCCTAGTGGTCAGTTTCAACCACTCACACCCATAAGTGACACATTTGGGAGACGGACTCAGAGAGCACCAAAGCCCCACTGACACAAGGTGTGTCTCCAGTGCAGCAGTTCTTCCTTTATAGACAGGGCAGGTCCTCACAGACAATTGGCCTGGAGGTCAATTCCTCCCAGGGTACCAACAGCAACCACAGCTTAATTACACCAAGACTTTGCACTCAGACAAGAAAGGAATATACCAAAAGTGACCACCTCAGGCAATTGGGGAAGCTGAGATACTGGCCCCTATAGGTCACTGGCCACACAAAGCTACTCCATCAACACGGGGAGGCAGCCAAAATGAGGAGACACAGAAGCATGTCATGAATGGGAGAGATGGAGGAAAGTAAACTACTGGATGACAGAGTTCAGAATCACATTTATAAGGTTACTCAAGTATCTTCTAAAAACCTTTGAGAAACTTGATGAGACCTCCAAGAAGCTTTGTGATACCTTCAAGGGCCTTAATGAGAATGGGGGGGGGGTGGGAGGAAAAGGACCAGTCATAAATTAAGCATACACAGTCTGAAATAAAGAATATACAGAGACTCAACTATAGATCAACGTACCACAAGAATCAAACCAAAGATCAGGAATATAAGAAAGCAAAAATCACCCAACCAGAAAGGCAGAAAGAAAGAAAGAAGAATCCAAAAGTGTGAGGATAGTGAAAGGAGCCTCTGAGACAGCTTAAAGCGTACCAACATCCGGATTTTGGGGGTGCCAGAAGAAGAGAGTGAGCAGAATATTGAAGGCCTATTGGAAGAAATAATAGCAAAAAAACATTCCCTACCTGGTGAAAGAAATAAACTTACATGTTCAGGAAGCGCACAGAACCTCAAACAAGAGGAACCCAAAGAGGACCACACCAAGACACATCATAATTAAAATGGCAAGGGCAAAATACAAAGAGAGAATCTCACAAGCAGCAAGAGAAAAACAATTAGTTACCTACAAGGGAGAACCCATATGATTGTCAGCTGATTTTCCAACAGAAACTATGCAGGCCAGAAGGTAGTGGCAAGAAATATTCAAAATGATGAATAACAAGAACCTACAACCAAGATTACTCCACCCAGCAAAGCTATCATTCAGAATTGAAGGTCAGATAAAGAGCTTCACAGACAAGAATAAGTTAAAGGAGTTCATCAACACCAAACCAGGATTACAGGAAAATGCTGAAGGGCATTCTTTAAGAAGAGGAAGAAGAAGAAAAAGGTAAAGGTAAAAATTATGAACAACAAAAAGATATCAAATACATACCTATCAACAAGTGAATCTAAAAATCAAGTGAATAAAAAATCTGAAGAACAAAATGGACTGGTGAATATAATAGAATCAGGGACATAGAAAGGGATTGGACTCACAATTCTCAGGGGGAAGAGGGTCTGAGGGGTGAGGGAAGAGATTGGACAAAAATTTTACACCTATGGATGAAGACAGTGGTGGGGGTAAGAGCATAGGGTGGGGTTGGGAACCAGGTGGAGGGAAGCTATAGGAGGAGGGGGGAAGGAATACCTGTAATAATCTGAATAATAAAGATTTATTATTTAAAAAATATATAAAATCAATTTAAAAAAAAGAAATAGCACCCCTTTTTTGCATATTCACCTGGGTGAGTGAGAACTTCTGATAGGTCAGTTTCCCTTTAGCCACAAGGAATCTTCTACATTTTTACACACAATACCGATGTCACATCTATCCAGACACTTAAAGGAATTTCCAATCTGGATATTTAAAAGAATATGGGGCCATTCAAATAAAAGGATAGCCACAAATCAATAACCTGAATAGCATATTTAGCATTAGCAGTCTCTTCTAAAAGTCATACTCACTGTAGCTTGAAGTAATCATGTACTGCCTCATAATTTACAGTCTGATAAAGCATTATGTCCTGAAAAAGAAAGTGAAAAAGTTTTTGTAAAGCAGGAAAATTGGGAATGGGAAAAATGAATACTTTCAAAACAGATTTAAATCTTTCTTTAGGTAAGAAAAATAATATATTTAGCGTTTTTAAATTTTTCTTTACTATCCCAGAAACTCCAACTATGTACATATTAGGTTCCCTTTGTTACATTTTCCTTTTAATTTTATATTAATCTTATTTCTATTGCTTCTCTCTTCCACTTCATTTGACTTTTGTCATGATATTATTCTTATTTTTCATTTATATCCTGAGCATAGAAGATTTTTCACTTTTCTGTTTTCTAATAACCTTGTTTCTAGAGCATTTTATTTGTTCTCTGATAGTTTTTTTTTTTTTTTTTAAATTTTATTTTATTTTTATTTTTATTTTTTTTAAATAAGTTTTTATTGTTCATATTATTACAAATGTTCCTCCCCCCCCCCCCACCATTGCTCTCCTCCACCAGGTTCCCATCCCACCCTCTGCCCTTTCCCCACTCCCCATTGTCCTCATCCATAGGTGCACAGTTTATGTTCAGTCTCTTCCCACATCCCCCTCTCCCCTTTTCCCCAAGAATCGTCAGTTCACTCCCCTTCCATACCTCTGATTCTATTATATTCAACAGTTACTATTGTTCATCAGATTTTTTTTTTAATTTCCTTGGTTTTTAGATTCACTTGTTGATAGTTACATATTTGTTGTTCATAATTTTTATCTTTGTTTACTTTCTCTTCTGAAAGAACTCCCTTCAGCAACTCATATAAGTCTGGTTTGGTGTTGATGAACTCCTTTAGCTTTTTTTTATTAGTGAAGCTCTTTATCTGACCTTCGATTCTGAGTGATAGCTTTGCTGGATAGATTATCTTTGGCTGTAGGTTCTTACTATTCATCACCTTGAATATTTCTTGCCATTCCCGTCTGGCCTGCATGGTTTCTGTTGAGAAGTCAGCTGACAATCGTATAGGTGATCCTTTATAGGTAACTACCTTCTTTGCTCTTGCTTCTTTTAATATTCTCTCTTTGTCTTTTGCTCTTGGAATTTTAATTATGATTTGTCTTGGTGTGGTCCTCTTTGGATTCCTTTTGTTTGGAGTTCTGTGCGCTTCCTGGACTTGTAAGTCTAATTCTTTCTCCAGGTGGGGGAAGTTTTCTGTCACTATTTCTTTCAGTATGTTTTCGATATCTTGCTCTCTCTCATCTTCTGGGACCCCCATAATTCTGATGTTGGTTCGCTTGAAGTTGTCCCAGAGGTTTCTTACATTATCTTCAATTTTCTGGATTCTCTTGCCTTCTAGCTTCTGTGGAGGAGTGTCTTCTGGCTCTTTATGTTCCAAATCTTTGACTTGATTCTTGCGATCTTCCCTTCTGTTTTTAGGACTCTGTAAAATATTTTTTATTTCAGACAATGTATTCTTTATTTCTTGTTGTTCCCTTATCATTTCTTGTTGACTCCTTATTAATTCTAGTTGATTTCTTTTCATGTCCTCATAGGTCTTATCCATCTTTTCTAGGAAATTCTTGAAAAACCTTATAAGCGTAGATTTGAACTCTATATCCAGTAGCTTTTTGTCCTCCATTTCTTTCCTTTGTGATCTATTTGGTTTAGGCATTTTCGCAGGCAGCATTCCTGATGGGGCGGGGTTTCAGGGTGGAGCCTACAGCTTTGGCTTCCGTCAGCCCCGCCCTATGCGACTCCTGAGACTCAGGGTCCTTCAGTACTCCCTGCCGGCGCCTCTGGGAGAAAGGCGCCCTCGATTTTCGCCTGCTGCCAAACAGTCAATGCTCTCCCCCAATGAGCCCGGTATTGGGGTTCAGTTCAGTTGGAAGTGGAGTTGGAGGTGTGACCACCTCAGAGCAGACTGGAACCCCTGTCTCCTTCCCGCCAGGCAATCCCGCGGCACAGCCGGCAGTCCCTTCTCTGCGCGCACTGGGCGCCACCGCCGGGACCTCCTTTCGCAGCTTCCCCGGGTTCCGCCTCGCAGCCCAGCTCCCTCTGGCTGAGCCTGAGTCCCCGGGGTCTGGCCTAGGCCTGGGGTTCAGAGCAGTTGGGGGCCCAGCACAGTCGGAGTTTTATCTCCTTCCCGCCAGGGAACGCCCGCCAGGCACTCCGCCTCCCTCCTCTCCGGCTCCGTCCTCTCGGCGCGCCGCGTGTCTCCGTACCTTGGGCTTTTCCAGCTCCTCCACGCTTCCTTCTGGTTTTCTCCTTGCTTCTCGTTGTAGAATTTCCAGTCAGTCAACTTTCCTGTAGTTCTGGGTGATGTCCATTTTATATTTTAGTTGTATTTTATTGAAATTGTTGTGTGAGGCTGCAGCTAGGTATTCACCTGGGCGCAGCCATCTTGGAGGACCCAGTTGAGTGTGTTCTCTGATAGTTTTAAATGATTACAGATATCATCTTGTCTGCAATTTCTGAGACAATGAAAAATTATCTGTCTGAACCTTTCCCCTGTAGTTTTTGAGTCATTCAAAAAAAAAAAAAATCTCCATTTGTTATTTGCATATGTTCTTGCAATTTGATTCCATCTGGGATATGTTTCATCTTAATTTCCAGTATTTCAAAAGTTGGCTATATTCTCAGGTACAGTCATTAAATGATATTAAAGGCAGAAAATAATAAGCCTCGAATTTTTATTTATTTATTTATTTATTATTTTTTTTAAATATATTTTATTGATTTTTTACAGAGAGGAAAAGAGAGGGATAGAGAGTTAGAAACATCAATGTGAGAGAATCATCGACCAACTGCCTCTTGTACACCCCCTACTGGGGATGTGCCCGCAACCAAGGTACATGCCCTTGACTGGAATCGAACCCGGGACCTTTTAGTCCACAGGCTGACGCTCTATTCACTGAGCCAAACCGGTTTCAGCGTAACCTCACATTTTTAAAGTATAATGATTACGTCCCTAGATCCTTAAACCCTTCTCCTTACACTTTTATATTTATATATAAACACACATACACACACACACACACACACACGTTAACAGTAGTTCCTTTCTTTGAACATGGAACTAGATTTATTTTTAATGTAATGACTCTCACAACCTTCAACTTTATCACAAGATGGTAGATTTTGTGTTATATACCACTCAACATCCAGCTTATGAGTAAGTAAACTTTGTCTCAGAAATGAGATTTTTTTCCTAAGAGTTTTCAGAGGCACAAGGACTGTTCTGATCACAATATATTAGCCAGCACCAAACTGATCTCCCTCCACACACACACACACACACACACACACACACGTCATTTTATATCTCTCAAGATAAATATGTCTGAAGAAATACTAAATCAACTCAAAATGAGATTCATCACTTGAATGGAACACCTGAAACCCTAAAAGAAAATACAGGTGTAAACGCCTTCAGATTGGTTTTGACAATGATTTTTCGGATTTGACACCTAAAGCAGAGGCAACAAAAGCAAAAGGCAACGTTGTCTCTGAGTGTGAACCAGGAGACAGTAGATGGCTAGTTACTCCGAGCTGCTGCAGTGGGGATGACTTTGAGGAGAACCTGCTCGTGCTAAATATGCTCATCAGGTTCTCCATTTGTGGCTATCCTTTTGTTTACATGGCCTCATATCCTTTTAAATATGCAGATTGGAGCCGAAACCGGTTTCACTCAGTGGATAGAGCGTTGACCTACGGACTGAAAGGTCCCAGGTTCAATTCCATGTACCTTGGTTGCGGGCACATCCCCAGTGGGGGGTGTGCAAGAGGCAGCTGATAGAGGTTTCTCTCTCATCAATGTTTCTGACTCTATCCTCTCTCTTCCTGTGAAAAATCAATAAAATATGTTTTTAAAAAAATGCAGATTGGAAATTCCTTCAAGTGTCTGGATCGATATGAAATCGGTATTGTGTGTGAAATGTAGAAGGTTCCTTGTGGCTAAAGGGAAACTGACCAGTCGGAAGGTTATTTCCTCCAACTGGGAGCAGATGTTTGCAAAGATGGCTGCAGGCACTCCTCTCCCTCAAGCATGCAGGACCCTGGACAGCACGCTTCAGCTGTTCTATTAAGAGGTGGGCGGAGTCTGTTTCCCCATCCTCTTCACCAGGGCTGGTCTTGTGAACCGCTTTGATGAATAGGAGGAGGCCAAACCCAGGCCTCAGGAGGCCGGGTCGCTTCCTCTCTCCCTGGTGTGGAACATTGCCCTGAGCCTGCCAGGCAGGGAAACGGGACCTCCTGTGCAAAAGGCAGCCACATGGAGCAGAGACAAGCCCTCCAGCTCAAGCCCCTCACACCAACAAGCCAGTGCGTGGACCGGCCACTGGACCCGTGAATGCGGCCACTGAGACCATCCTACCTAGGCAGGCCGCCCAACCACCACAGCTTCCTGAGTGAGTCCAGGTGAAACGCCCTGTTATTCACAACCCTAACTGTGGATTTGACGGAAGAACCAGGCACTAAGAATAAAATGATAAAAGGAAGAACACAGTCCAACTGACAGATACTTTTTGCAGGAACGTATTTTAAGTCGCAAAGAGGCCTTAGATATTGCAAGTGAAAACTGTGGCTCAGGAATTAGTGGCTTATCATATTATTTATGAAAAAACACGTATGTTTCTCCACACGTTCCAAGCTAAACCTAGAAGGGAAATCTGTTTTAAAGAATATTAACATGATGCTTTTACATTTATTAAAATCAAATGACATTTTAAAATAACAACTTACCATGGTTTTAGTGCAGAATCCTGAAGCAATTTCATACTTATTATGGAATTTGTATTCTAATAGTTTTGGTCCATAAAGTTCCATAATAATATACAAACCTTTATTTTCTGGGTAGACTATTTGAGCCCAAATTAACAGTTTCTTTTTTTTGTCCAAGATGTAAAAAACACGATCAATATTATTATGGAATGCCACAAAGGGGCATTTTTCTTTTGTTTTGTAAGTTGCACTTCGTATTTCCAGACTTAAGGGAAATTCCTGTACATCTAGTGTGCCATTTTCAAAAACACTTACAAAATTTACTTGACTAACTGAATTCAAAAAAAATTGTGTTTTTGTTGCTTTGTTTGTCCATAAAGGTAGCTTCACTGCATCTCTAACATAAATCTTGAAAAAAAACAAGTTATTATTTTCCATTTTTACCAAGATATTTCCATAGTAATCTGGAAAAAAGAGAGAGAGGTTGATTATTCTAAGTAACCATAAATTCACGCTTTTATTTAAGTGGACTTTTAACCAAAGTAATCTTTTTATAATGACTATTTATATACTTTGAGAAAATTAGGGTGTTCAGGCACAAACCTGCAACTTTACACAATAACTTCTCTCCCACTTCACAGTACAGTAGGTTTTTCCTGCATTCACGATATCACTTATATATCACATCATATATAGGGGTAAAAGAGCTTACTAATGTGTATTAGTGAGAATGAGCATGACAAGAATTATTAGGAAGTATTGCAGACTAAATGTGTATATCCCCCTTTCAAATGCATATGGTGAAGTCTTAACTGCCATTGTGACTGTATTTGGAGATAAGTCTTTAAGGAGGTTATTTAGATTAAATGAGGTCATAAGGGTGGGGCCTTATTCCTATCTGACTGGAGTCCTCCAAAGGAAAGATCTCTCTCTCCTTCTCCATGCTCCCCGCCCTTTCCCTGCATGCACACAGAGGAAAGGTCATATGAGGACATAGTGGGAAGTTGGCTGCTGTCTCCAATCCAGGAAGAGAGTCCTCATCAGAAACCAACTTGCTGACACCTTGAACTTGAACTTGTAGCCTCCAGAACCATGAAAAAGTAGATTCCTATTGTTTAAGCCACCTACTCTGTGGCATTTTGGTATGTCAGTCCTAGCAGAATATAATTGGGATGAAGAATGGGGTGGAGTGGGCACTTCTTCATGTTCACTCTGTAAATAATAAGTTTTCTTCCCTTAATAGAGTATTATGTTTAAGTCTTAGAGATTCATGGTATATCTATACAATGGAATACTATGCTGCCATAAAAAAGTAGGAATTCTCATCATTTGCAGCAGCCTGGATGAAATTGGAGAATATCATGCTGAGTGAAATAAGCCAGTCAATGAAAGAGAAACACCACATGAACTCACTCTTTTATGGATAATAAAGAACATAAACTGATGAACCAAAAGATAGATATAGAGACAGTAAAGCAACAATCAGATGGTCAAATTACAGTTGGGGGGGTAGGGAGATCTGGGGAAGATAAGAGATCAACCGAAAGTCTTGTATACATGCATATAAGTACAACCAATGGACATAAAACTCTGGGGAGGGAGGGTATAAATGGGAGGCGGGAATGGTAAAATATGTACACAGATAATACTTTAATTAAAAAAAATAAAAAGAGAAGGAAAACAAAATAAATAAATAAATAAAAAGAAGAATGGGGTGGGGTGGGCACTTCTTCTAAATAATAAGTTTTCTTCCCTTAATAGAGTATTATGTTTAAGTCTCAGAGGTTCATAGACAGTCTCTTAACCACTTTGGTTCTATAGGCATCTTTATGAAATGAACATTTAGTTGATTTCATGGCTTTCTTTTCAGATACAACATTCTTGGTGGGCCACTTCTAGCCCGGGGGTCCCCACACCATCCCATGATATGCTGAGCAGAAGGCTCAAGTTCAGGCGCTGCTTCTGCCACTTCCTAGCTGGCCAGCCTCGGGCTGGTGAACTGCCATCCTGAAGCCTTAGGTTCCCGCCCCCCCCGCCCCAGGAAAGACATTGAAGTTTTAACTCTCATTACTACTTTGGAATGTGCCCCCCCCCCCCTTTTTTTGAGATAGGGTCATTACAGCTGTGCTTGGTTAAGACAAGGGCATACCGGAGTTGGGGAGCCCTGTTGTCCTTAAAGCAAGATGGCACGTGAAGTCACGGGGAGCATGCTATGTGATGATCAATTGGAATGATGTGGCTGCAAGCCAAGGGATGCAGGGTTTGCTAGAAGCCACCAGAAGCTAGGGAGAGGAAGGAAAGATTCCTCCTTGGGTTTCAGAGGGAGCATGGCATGACACCTTGAAAGCAGACTTCCAGCCTCCAGAACTAGGAGACAATACATTGCTGATGTATTAAACCACCCAGCTTGTATAGTTTGTTACAGGAGCCCTAGGAAATGAATGAGACCATGTCACCTCCTACACTGAAGATGCACATGTGAGTTCTTATTTCATATCTGCTGATTGGCCAAAATGAACCTCTGGAAAAAAAACAACTCGAGTTTGCCATTTTGCTATGAAGATCATAGTTTATGTTAGTAGATTTTGATACCCATTTTAGGTGATAAGAAGTCCACCTTTACCTATCAGTATTTAATGTACATTTAAATTTGCTACATCTTCATAAGAAAGTCATCTATTATGAAATCAAGAGTATTTTTTTTTTTACACAATGAGAATGCCTCACCTAAATAAACATCATGAATAACACTGTCATCTGATAATTTTGAAAGATTCCCAAATTCTGTAGGTGTCTGTATAACTCCATTAGCAGAGAAATTGTGATAAGAATAGTAGATCCTGTGTTTGTCCCATAGTATTAATTCTGGCATTGATGAAAATACAAAATGTGGAGTTATAAAAGTGTCCATTGTGACATTTAATGAAAAGTCTTTGAGCATCCACTGTCCCGAATCTTCATTATATATCCCTAGGTAAATTTGTTTCATGACATTACATGTAATACAGTAACTTAAAAACATGCCAAATTCTAAAGGATGTGCTGTATACACAATACTGTGTATACGCACAGTAGCAGTTGAGGGTATATATATAGTTTCCCTCACTTTTTTTATATTTATTATTTCGACAAATTCAAGAGAATCATATCCAAGATAAATTGCATCTCTTGTCCAGATTGCCAAGTTGCTTCTTTTATTAGCCTGGAAAATGGAGAATAGAAAATAATTAGAATATCTTCAATTTTTAGGGATAGTCCTAACAATTCTTGTCTTCTAACTTGCTATATTTAAAAGTAAAACATAGTTCAAAGATCTAGAACAAGCTCTCCAAAAATTCATCTGGAATAAAAAAAAAAAATACCCCGAATAGCCACAGCTATTTTGAGAAAGAAGAACAAAGTTGGAGGGATCACAATACCAGATATCAAGCTATATTACCAAGCCATGGTTCTCAAAACTGCCTAGTACTGGCAGAGGAACAGACATATAGACCAACTAGTAGTTCTTCACATGAATCTGTGTGCCAATTTCTTGCCAATAGCTCACTGCTGTCCTCCAGTAGCTCTTTGTCTGCTGCTTCACCCTCCTCTAGTCCCCCGCCCGCTCCCCCTCTCCACTCCTCCCACAGCTTACTGCCCTGCCCCCTTCGTAGCTCTCTACCACATGCTTGTAGCTCGCTGCCCCAACCTCCTGCTGATCCATGATACAGTCATAAAGTGGTCAGTCATTACGCTAATGGCGTAATGACTATTTGTATATTACACCTTTATTATATAGGATGGAACAGAATAGAGAATCTAGAAATTGACCCAAGCCATCATACTCAATAATTAATATTTGACAAAGGAGGCAAGAGCATATAATGGAGTCAAAACAGTCTCTTTAATAAATGGTGCTGGGAAATTTGGTCAGATACATAAAAATAAAAAAAAATAATAAAAAGAAAGGAAGGAAGATCACCAACTTACACCATACATAAAAATAAACTCAAAATGGATAAAAGACTTAAATGTAAGATGGAAAACTATTAAAAAAAAAAAATCCAACAAGACTCCATAGACAGCAAAATATCAGACATATGTCGTAGCAATATCTTTGCCAGCACAGCTCCTAGGGCAATGGAAACTAAGGAGAAAATAAACAAATGGGACTAATCAGAATAAAAAGCTTTTGCACAGCAAAAGAAACGATCAACAAAACAACAAGAAAGCCCACTGCATGGGAGAACATATTTGCCAATATTATCTTCGATAAGGATTTAATCTCCAATATTTATAGGGAACTCAGACAACTTAACAAAAGGAAGATAAACAACTCAATAAAAAAAAAAAAATGGGCAAAGGACCTAAATAGACACTTTTCAAAAGAGGACATTCAGAAAGCAAAGAGACATATGAAAACACTGGTAGCCCTGCACAGGAATCCGTATGCCAGTAGCTCTCTGTGGGGCCTGGCAACTCCGTGCCCACTACCCAGAGGCTCTCCGTGGCCCAGAGGCCCTCCTTGGCAGGGGCTGGACCCTTGCCTCATTGCCACAGCAACAAAGCAAGCATTCCACCAGGCTGCTCACACTGCTGGCTCTCAGTGGCTGCTCCCCCAGGACTGGGGGACTCCGGTAGAACTAAGGGGACTGGGCATCAGCATCTTGTAGCTATGGGGGCTGCCATTTTTGTGATGGAGTAATGGTTAATTTACATATTACCCTTTATTAGGGAGGATACTCAAAGTCACTAATTATCTGAGAGATGCAAATCAAAACAACAATGAGGTACCATCTCACACCTACCAGAATTGCTGTCATCAACAAATCAACAAATGACAAGTCCTCGAGAGGATGCGGAGAAAAGGAAACCCTCGTGCACCGCTGGTGGGAATGTAGATTGGTGCAGCCACTGTGGAGAACAGTATGGCGTTTCTTAAAAAATTTAAAAATGGAACTGCCATTTGACCCAGTGATCCCACTCCTAGGAATATATCCCAAGAAAACAGAAACACCAGTCAGAAAGGATATATGCACCCCTATGTTCATAGCAGCACAATTTACAATAGCTGGGATTTGGAAACAGCCTAAGTGCCGATCAGCAGATGAATGGATTAGAAAACGATGGTACATCTATGCAATGTAAAAAAGGAATTCTTACTATTTGCAACAGCATGGATGGAACTAGAAAGCATTATGTTAAGTTAAATAAGCCAGGCAGTGAAAGAAAAATACCACATGATCTCACTCATTTATGGATAATAAAGAACATTATAACCTGATGAACAAAAAGATAGATATAGAGGCAGAGAAAATTACAGCATGAAGGCTGGGAAGGGTTGAAACGGGGTAGGGGGGGGAGTAAGAGATCAACCAAAGGACTTGTATGTATGCATATAAGCATAACCAATGGACGCAAGACACTGGAAAGGGGGTGAGGGCAGGTGCCGGGGGTGAAGGGGGCTGGGGAGGAGGGGAGGGATTAGGTAGGGAAGGCCTGGGGAAGGTCAATGGGGGGGGGGGAAAGGAGACATGTACTATTATTTGTAATACTTTAGACAATAAAATAAAATTTTAAAAAAGTAAAACATAGTAACTAGAATGGTTTCTTTTTTCGTACATTTCTGAAAAATACTTCAGGCGCAGAAATATATGGCATAGAAATATGTCATATTACAATAAAAAGAAATTATTCCAGTAATTTTATTTTTTATCAGTAGAAATAATTAATCTTAATTCCTTTTTAATTCTTCAAAGACTATTGATCTTTAGAAACCGGTTTGGCTCAGTGGATAGAGCGTCAGTCTGTGGACTGAAAGGTCCCAGGTTCGATTCTGGTCAAAGACTATCGATCTTCTCTTTGCCTATGTATGTATTTATTCTGGTCAGGAGTGCCTCTTTGACCTTGCTGTTTACTAAGATCGATCTATAATGATACCTCAAACATTACATTATTATTTTTTTTAAATATATTTTATTGATTTTTCACAGAGAGGAAGGAAGAGGGATAGAGAGCTAGAAACGTCGATGAGAGAGAAACATCGACCAGCTGCCTCTTGCACACCCCCTACTGGGGATGTGCCCGCAACCAATGTACATGCCCTTGACCCGAATCAAACCTGGGACCTTTCAGTCCGCAGACCGACGCTCTACCACTGAGCCAAACTGGCTTCGGCACATTATTATTATTTTTTAATTCTAGCTTCTGTGGGTATCAGATAAAGGGAAGAGAGAAATTAAAACTTTAAACAAATCAATACTTCCCCTTTGTGGACCCAGTCTGTTAGAGACAAAGGCTATTCAGAGACTATGTCTGAAATCCAGTGGTCCTAATTTCATTCAGTAGGCCCTTCTCCAGCTGTTTCTATTTCTTTTAAAAATATATATTTTATTGATTTTTTTTTTTTTTTACAGAGAGCAATGAGAAAGAGTCAGAACCATCGATAAGAGAGAATTATCGATCAGCTGCCTCCTGCACACCTCCTAATGGGGATGTGCCCGCAACCAAGGTACTTAAAAATATAATTTTTTATTGACTTTTTTACAGAGAGCAAGGGAGAAGGATAGAGAGTTAGAAACATCAATGAGAGAGAACCATCCATCAGCTGCCTCCTGCACACCTCCTACTGGGGATGTGACCGAAACCCTTGACCGGAATCGAACCTGGGACTCAGTTCACAGGCCGACGCTCTATCCACTGAGCCACACCGGTTAGGACTCTCAGCTATTTAAGTATTTCACAATCTTCTGACTTTCTTTCATCTTATCCAATTGTTGTATTGTCTTTATTTATAATTTGTATTTTCTGTTTGAATATTTTTGATCTCTCTTATTAGTTTCTGATACTATACAATATCATTATTTTGTATCTCAGTGGACTTCCTTTTTTTCCTATATCAATCAGAATTTATTAGTATTTCAGGATTTAGGATTGATATCTTTATTGAACTCTGAAAAATTCTCAGCTCTCTCCCATTTTATTAATCTTTTATTTTGGAATTCTGATTAGATATATATTGGATTTTCTCTTTTTCCATTCATCTCTCTCTTCTACTCTGTTTTCCATCCCTTTTTCTCTCATCTTTTCATTTTATTTAATTTCTTATCTAATTTATAATTTTAAGTATTTTTGTTGTATCCAATCTTCTATTTAAACTTTCCATTGAATTTTATATTTCAGTTATTAGTTTTATCTAAGTTTACTACATCAAATGTCATATTTCAACATTTATTCTTATATATTGATATATTTGAAATAGAATTCACATATAGAAATGGACCAAATGGAAATATATGTAGCTAAAAGATTTATCACAAAGCAGAGTCTAACAAATAGAATCTTGTCAGAACTCCCAAATGCCACTCATTGTTTCCCAATTACTACATCTTTCCTTTCAGGATAACTACTATCCTAAATTTTATGATAATGAATTCCTTGCTTTTAGTATTACTAATTGCCTTGATATTTGATAGACTTTAAATATATATATATATATATATATATATATATATATTTGATTTTTTACAGAAAGGAAAGGAGAGGAATAGAGAGCTAGAAACATCGATGAGAGAGAAACATCAATCAGCTGCTTCCTGCACACCCCCTACTGGAGATGTACCCGTAACCAAGATATATGCCCTTGACGGGAATTGAACCTGGGACTTTTCAGTCCACAGGCAGATGCTCTATCCATTGAGCCAAACCAGTTCTGGCTTGATAGACTTTTTATCAATTTATTTAAGTCCAGTAAAAATATGTCATATCTGTCAGTCCCAACATCTGATGTCCTTGCAGGAATGATTCTGCTCTTTATTGTTTCTGCTGACTCCTGTGACATCATACTTCTTCATATATTTGCCTTTTGAATATGAGCTCAATTTTGCCAGAATATTATTTGTGGAAAGTTTTCAAAGCCTGACTTTATGGTTTGTTCCTCCAGAAGGGATTTGTGTTTGCTTCTGCCTGGTACAAGACTTGGTATTTCTTGGCCCGCTGTGAATTTGGGCCCCAAAGTCCATGTGGGTTGTTTTTTTGGTCATGAATTCCAAGGACAAGACTTTTTCTGGCCTTTTAAGAGTTAAAGTGGAGATACATTTAATTATGTTGGGAAATTTTGGAAGGTTCCTGTTTTATGCAAAAGAATTAGCAGATGCCCTCCCTTGCTCAGGTCCCAGGCTTTGTTTTAAGTACCAGATGTCTAAAAGCCTGGGACCAGCACTG